CAAGCAGAATAATACATTACTCTTTTAAGCACTCGTGTGCTTATATATGATCATATGATGCAAAAGAGTAACTATATATAATATATGTACATATAATATAAAATATTCAGATATAATTAAATATAGAACTTTATAAATACTTTTTAAATATTTTAATAATGTAATAAATATTTATATGTATTTTACATAAAAACTAATGATAAATATATTTAATAAAAGATGCATGCATATGCATACATATGTATACACGCAAGCAATTGTTATAGAAATATTTAATATTAAGAATCAAATTTATCTACATGATTATAGTTAAAAGCTTTAAATGTCCAATCACGATACAATATAATTGCTACGATAATTGAATGTGAAATTCTTAATAGAATGTCTAATTATCGTGAGTAACTATAATGATCAAGAATATAATAGAATTCGTGAAAGATAAGAAACTACCGCGACGATTGTGTAAACGATATCGAGCAGCATCAGCATAAATGTTTCATTTAGTTCCCAAGGAAATTGCACGCTGTGGTTATCTTTACTAATCACTCCTAAATTGCGGGAGTAAAACGTGAAAGTCAAGAAGCCGCTCTACGTGAGATGCATAGTAATGACATCTTGACCCACGAAATTAACGCGCTGCTACTACTATATTACTACTTGGTCTTATTCTCTCGAATTTTTTCACATACTATACCCTCAGCACGTTTTTTCCCGACATTTTATTTCTCTCCCCTAATTTCTCACTTCGACGCTTAGAATCAACGCCAACACATTCAATTTGCTTTCGCGCACTTTCGTTCGTTTCTCGCCTCGTAATTTCTCGGCCGAAAGAAAAAAAGATGCCCAGTTAAACTTATAATTCATTGCTGACATTTCGTTACATCTAGACGAAAGACATTTTAGCACAACAGAATTGTTATATCATGAATAAACATAATTGTAGCACTGCCTTTCTCTACTAGCAGCTATAAACCTCAAGATCACTATAAACTTGAGCAGAATGGAATGGAGAAAAAGATCTTAAAGATTAAAAAAAAGAAAGAGAGCTAGCATGCAATAATAATACAGATTTGTAAGCAAGACATTTTGCGCGTGACACAATACTGTACTGCGAATAACATTAAAAACCGCGATGTATGAAAGAAAAAAATAACCAGCTGCAAACAAGTAAATAACTGCAAACATTCATAATTTTTTTTATTAAGATTTCGAAGATTTGTAAAGAAAAAATCTAGACGTGCGATTGCATAACATAATTATATTTCACCCTGCGAATTCTTTGCAATTTCTTCGACATTTGTTATTTAAAGTGAATAGTTTAAAGTGAAAAGAGAACACAATAATTACGCCCGTGCAATAATTTATCTTAGCAGTCGGAAATTCCATTTTTCGACAAATCTAAAGAATTTGTCGTAAATTTTAAACAAATTACGGGTCTGTCTATTATTAAAACCGAAGAAGCATCAGAGTGAGGAAACATCGGATTTCGTAACACGTACTTTTATGCAAATTCGACTCGTTCCATTTCATTTCTTCAATAAAAATCTCGCTATATAAAGCACAAGGTAATTTCAAGGTAACATCACCAACGCTCTTATGTATTCTCATTTTTCCTCACAATACGCGTTTGCGCGACACGAAAAAGTACTTTGATATAAGAGACAGAGAGAGATTTGTATTTTATTATATATATTTAAGAAAGAAATCCTCCCTCCCTTAAAAAACAGATGAAATTACTTGATATTATTCATATCATTACTTTAGATTTGCTAAAACCGAAACGATCATTAGCTAAAGTTGAATGTATTAGCAAAGATGGAATCAAATTCGATCGAGTCGAAAATATGCTTCTTAATTTGAGTAATTGAAGTCAATAGAAATAATTTATTTTAAAGGTAACATTAAATCGTAATAATTTGAGAGAATTATATATATATATATATATATATAATAATGTTAAATAATATTAAATATATATAAAATTCTCTCTCCATTTTGAAATCCCGATATCTGTTCGTGCGAGAATGGATAGAGAGCTGCAGCGTTATTCGATATTCCTCAACCATAGCTCGCGCGGTTTCCGACACCAAACGGCTGTCGTAATTTCTGTAATAGCCAATGAGCCGAAAATTAGGACGATATCCGCCGAGTAGAAACGAGCGCGAATATTCACAGCGTGGACGATCGATTATCCGGAATAATCTGCGCCGAAGTATACATTTGCAGATAACGCAAATTAGTTGGCGAGTATCGTGATCGAATGCGGGAGATATCGAGATGACGAATACATCAACATATTTTTATGCGAGAATGTTATTTTCAATGTAAATATTTTTTAATACACACACATTATTGATACGTTATTACCATGCTATTTTTCTATTCAGATTCGTTGTGTTTGCATTGCATTCTCGTTTATATAAATATTTATTTATTCTTATATAAATATAATTGCAAATATAATATATGGAAAACCGTTAACAATCTATATATAACGGTGATACTTTTTAAACGTTACTTTGTAATGAGTTTGCCAATTACGGTGAGTGTAACGATAGATCAAGCGATCCATCAATTTGTAAGTTTTCACAGAGAGTTTCTACTTTGGGACACGACAGTTAACGAGTCTACCTATTTTTTCAATTGATAAAATACTTCAAGCGTAAAATGCTCAAGTTAAAGAATATATAAAGCGAATGAAGAGAAAAAATTTATTTTAATCGATATCAAAGGTAACGTTATGTAATAAATATATTGACAGAAAGATAAAACAGAGTTAATATTGTATTAAGTAAACTGTTGGAAATATATTAATATTTATAATTTTAATTATATATTTATGTTGAAATTTTATTTACATATCTGTATTAATTTTTAAAATAATAAATTGCATTATTTATAAACGAATTAATTGAATTCTAAATAAAATATTGAATAAATCCGATATCATATATAAATAGATTATAAAATATTTTATATGACTATAAATAAAAACTTATATTGAATTTCTTTTTTCGATCCATAAAATTTTATTTTTTATAAATTATTATAAATTTTTTAATTTAAATTTTAGTAATTTTTCTGTCCATTATGTATTTTATTATTCATTTTAACATTGTTGTATAGTGTGCATTATATGTATACCTACATCTTTGATCTTCAAATGCAAAATATATGCAACAATAATGGCTATATATATACTTCGCATATATCCATTGTTAAAATGTTTTCCTTATAGCATTCCCAATATAAGTTTATCCATCGGTTCGTATATAAACGCGGATATAAGAAAATTTCTCTATCGTCATTCTCGCATTGCGCCAGTTGGTTCGCGTATATATCGACCTATCTCACTTCTCAAAACCATAATCTTGACTGAAGGAGGAAACATGTATTATCATGTGCGCGAAATAAGGTCTCGTCTTTCACAGCTTAAAGCAGGACGTAGAAGAGCTCAGAGAACAAGTTGCGCTTCCATTTTTACATTTTTCTGTTAGCTCCTTCCCCGCTCATTTCTTTATTTATGTAGAATGCATAAGGCTTCTGGCAAAAGGTAAATTCATTGTCATTGATTTGATGGTGCGAACAAAAAGAAAACGTTTCTATCGCAATTCTTTCCGGCGTAGCATCTCAACGAGAGAAAGGTTGGAAAAAGGAAAAGGAAAATTCTAAAAGGAGGAAAGATGCGAAACCCCCCCAAGAAGGAGTCGTTGTTCGACTTTCACCCTCTCGATATCCGCGACGCTGAACCTTTGGCAAACATTTACACTGGCTATGTATAGAAATAAGAGTGAATTTCGTTGGTAAACATTTCTCGGGCCACGTGTGTAAACGAGAAGCTAAAGTACGATGCTCTCCAAGTATAAAATCGTAAGGACGGCAGGATAATTTCTTATGCAAGCGACGACTGTCTTTCTGAAATTCTCCGACACAATTTTCAACACTCAATTACAAGCAACGTTCCTTGCATTGTAATTTAAACATTGAGTTTATGCAAGAAGTTTCATAGAAGAAAACTTTAATATAAAGCGATACAAAAATCGCACTTCTTCCGCTTTATCTTATTCATATTACATCCTGTGTGATAATTAACGAAAGAATATAAAATGAATATAAAAAAATAAATTTTTAATTACATTCTAAAACATAATGGGAAAAACTACATTCACTATTCAATATATAATTTTGAAATTATTACAACATGGCAAATAGTAGGTATGAGCTTTAAATCAATAACAATGTAAGAACGAGCGATTCAACAGGTGTTAGTCTGCAAAATTATATGAAATAAAATTTAAGCGCAAAAGAAAACAGAAACGAAAATATAACGAGTTCGCTTGAAATCATCATATAAAAATTTCAGTAATTTTGGTTCTCTTTCATTGTATATGGCCGCATACTAATTGGCAAAATACAATTGCACGTACTAAATGCATTTTCATTCTATTTAATTTTATATCAAACGCGTGTAATCAGTCAAACGTTTGTCGTATAAGTTTTATAATTTGTCGATATTACACATAATTTATTTACATAAAATAGCACACATTCAATAAATAAAAAAAGGATCCGTTCAATATAAATGAACAGTAAACAAAATATTGAAATTATTTAAACTATTTATTTTTGTGCAAATTGTATTTATATCGATCTGTGATAAATGTGTATCCATTTCGTTCGCATTACATCGCTTCTTTTATTGATTCAAATTCTGCCTATTTGTGTCACACAAAACGAATTATATTATAAACTGGTTAATTGACCAATACACACCATGCCATGTATATTCAATGACGAAAATATTAACGATCCGAACGAAACAACATCATTATTGTATTAACGCCAATTTACCTCCACGTTTATTAGCGGCAAACTTGCATCTATATAGGGCACACTGATAGATGTATCATTAAGCTAATTAATTTGTTAATATTTCAATATTACTTTTAAATAAATTACGAACGGGAACATCAATGGTATGATATTATTGTACGTTTCAGGTTCAATAAGCAACATAGACGGCGCAGAATATCACTGCAACAAAACTGTACGAAAGGTAATCAGTGGTGTCGTTGGGGCTGCGAGTTCAGTAACATCAATTCAAGTTGCCAATCTTCTACGATTATTTAGGATCCCGCAAGTAAGTACATATTTGAATCCCATTTTCATAAAAATATTTTAAATAACTAATTAAGTATAGAAATATTTTAATGACAATTACAGAAAATATTCTGCGAAAATTAATTAATCTCTCTCTCTCTCTCTCTCTCTCTCTCTCTCTCTCTCTCTCTCTCTATTTGCTCAAGAAAAATTTTTACGGTGATATACATATAGTTAGTGTGTGCAATATATATATATATGCTTTTTTCATTAAATAATATAAAACAAAAAGTAAAATTACATAAAAATCACTATTTATATAAAATAAAAATTTTACTTATAAATACTTTATATGTCACAATATGTAGAGTAATATAGAGTTATATAAAATATCTATTATTTATAAAAACTAAGGAAAAACACGAGAAAGATCTTGCTTTATTAGAGAAATGATAAAAGCATAATTATTAAAGCGAGATTAATGCATAAGATATGATAAGCATGAATAGCGTTCCATTTTATTTTTCATACGTTTTAATACTTTTTACCACAAAAATTCAAAGCTAAGCAATACTTATCGTGCCTCTAAAGCTAAAGTAAAATAAAAATGTCAGGTGGCAACAAACCGTGAAGATTTCATTCTTGACGCAAGTTTACGGAACCCGCGGTTTAAAATCTTCCTACCGTGAAATCACCTCATCCAACGCTTCCTTATAAGCCATTCGAATCTCCTAGCCCGTTATAGCTCTCAGCGGTCTATTAGTTGAGATTTAAGGGGTGCGACTGTAACATGTTATCCGTCCAACCGCGAAATGTCATATTGCCTATTAAACTTATATTAATTCTCTGTGTTAATTACATATTTACCAATATTACCGACGATTGACCAGATCGTTTCTAATTTGATAACATCGATTTACAATTTCCTACAAGATGCATATGATGCAATATTAAATTTAACAGTCATTTTTCAATATAACCCGAGAGAAACACAACAATTTTTCATTTATAATTTTATATAAATATATACTGTGTATTTAAATGCCAAACGCCAAAAAATATTTATTTATAATACACTATTGCAATTAAAAATTAATGTGTCACTTATATTTCGCTTTCTCACTATGCATGGATCTAATATCAATACATATATATTTACTACAAAGCAATTAGAAACAAACTTCAACTGGCTAATTATTAAATAAGATATTCGAATTACAAGATTCTTAGATAACAACTTTAATAACAGTTCATCTAGTGTGTTCCTTCACTCAATAGTCGTTTTTGGTATGCGAGTTTACAAGATTAATCTATTTATACTATCCACATTGTGAGGATCTCATTTTACAACGTTGAGTTTCTCAACGTAATAGATATAGCAGAGGTCAAACTTCGGTAATATGTGTATTTATATGCAAAGTTATGAAGATTGCATCAAGAAAGGATCAAAATATAGTGATTTAGCTATAATGAGATGATAATGATTTTTAGCCCTCGAGCGAGATTGATACGTGATAACAAAATTAATTACTCATACTCGTTGAAAGGAAAAGCATACTTCACATACAGACGCAAGTTTCTCTTTCAAATATTTTACTGATTAAAATCCTTGATGTGTCAAAAAACAAATAAGAGACGTATTAGCTGGAATGTTGAAATTCGCACGAAAAGCGACGTATAACTAATATAACAGAGAGTTTTTTCTCTCCCATGAGTTATAAGTGTCTGAAGCAAAGAATGATTCCTTAAAAACCTCAGCTGTCGTCGATTCATGCCTCTGAAAATCCACAGCAGCAGAGTTTGAAAGAGATTTCGCGAGGATTTCAGGGAAAGACGTGAAAGGATCAGGCAGAATATAAGTCTAGGGAAACGGCAATGGATTTAATTTAGTTCATTTCTGCGGTAGAATTCTCTCTATCTATTTCTATAGTTCAACGTGAGGATTTGCGAAACAAACACGCAACATCAGATCCAGCTTCATACAGTTATTGGAAACTGAAACAACTTTCTGGAGTACATTTAAATTATAGTTTGATAAAAACATTAAATAACATGAGATGTCATCAAATTAATTTCAAAAATTCTGATTTTTAAATAATATAAAATATAAATCTTAACAAATTTAAAATGTCGTACAGAATTGAATATAATAGACAAATATGCATAAAATATTTTTTTATATAATCTTCTAAATTTAGTGTATTTTTTATCATTAAAAGAGAGATAGAGAGAGAGAGAGAGAGATTGCATTGATCAATTCAAAGAGTTTATAATATTATTTATCAAAGTTGTAATTATGTTATATATTATTATTTAAATATTAAATATGTAATTTTTAGATATGTTATATATATGAAATATATGTATTTTAATACATATATAAAATGTGTCGGAAATCATATTTTAACAGTTAAGAATATACACTGTTAATATTTAACAGGCGCAGAACTCAAATAGAACTTTGAATCTCGTGATATTACTAAGATAGTCAAATAATAGAGTTCTCATAATCTTGAAACTCGTGTGATTTAAATGCAAATTTAACAACATTTCTTACTAAAAATTTCAACTGAATCTAACGGTGCATCGATATTCATTTTTTGATTTATTTATCGAGACTATATTAACAGTAGTTTCAAAAATCTTCTCATATATATTATATTACGAGATAGTTTCTTCCACTTCTGTCTGTTCCGTCGCATCTGTTAAACTCAGTCTCGTGAAACTTGTCACGACTACGTTGCGTTAAACTAGGAAACTGTTCGAGAATGTATGTGACGTGAACCGAGATCGCTTTTTACTTATGACGTAGTATTCCAAAAAAGTAGCAAACTTTTATGAATTTTTCGACCCAGTCAATTTTATACTTTTGCTTAAAGGCACAGAATTGAGGTAGGAAGCATATCCTTGCGAAACATTTAAGTGCTCGCCATTACTTTCTTCAACAAAGTGAAATTTCTACTATAAACTTGTCTCAAATCGATTATTCACGACTACATATGTATATATATGTATTATAGCAAACACCCACAAGATAACACAAACTGTTGAGTTATTGTGTAGTGTGAATTAAACAGCTGATATTTAGTATTAATTTCTCTAACTTATATGTCAATTTATATCAATTTCTCTAACTTAAAATTTATTCAGAAATAAATATTTTTATCGGCTCTCAATATAAATAATATAAGTATGCTGTCTTCTAAGCTGGGCAATAGAGCCAAGGAAATAATAATTTCTAACTGTATGAAGCTGGATCTGATGTTGCGTGTTTGTTTCGCAAATCCTCACGTTGAACTATAGAAATAGATAGAGAGAATTCTACCGCAGAAATGAACTAAATTTAAAATTTATTATTTAATCTAATCGTATTATTTGATCGTAAAAATAGTATTAAATATTAATCCAGTTTTAATATTTTAAACTCGAATGTTAAAAATAATTGTTGCATAACGTAACGTTCGGTGTCGACTGACAATAGCTCTATTTGACCGAAAAAAAAGATAAGTACCACTTATTTCATAAATTTAGCACATTTTTATCTCATGCAAGCCAGCAACTTAGTTTATCCATATTCATAATGCTTCTACAAGATCGGAAAGCGCTCGATCTTCATCACTTTCACAGCGATTCAGGCGGCAAGGTCTGATTAAAATCGACCTCTTCTCCAAAATGACCGAGAACACGTTTCTATCATTAAGAGAACTTTATCTTCACAAAAATGACATTTTATCCGTTTAAGGATAATCAATCTTACAACTCTAATACATTGTAACGTTTCTACTAAATATCGTATACAATTTATGTGTCCCGAGACAATTCTGAAATTTCTCTCGAAAATGTATTATATATTTATATACATCGACCGAAGATAAATTTTGTATCTACAGTATCGCAATGAAAAATTGGAGCAAAAAATTACTACGATGTGCTATTCACTCGGAAGATGCGTTCTCGCACGTGACATAAAGGACATAAAGTATTTCCATATTGGTAGCGTATTTCGCAGTATTTCGCAACACGAAGGATGCATTATTCATTGCATTAAACGCAACTTACATCGACACAGTATCGCTGCTCGCGTCGCGTTTATGCACGCTCTAAAGTGGCTGTAGACGACCGCTTAGCTAAACGATTTCTCCGCAACTTGTCAGCACGATGACGTACGATCGACATAGAAACATAGGTATAACACCTCGCATAAGCACTATACGTGGAAAGTGCATACGCGTCAAAGGGAGCTTCGCTATTCGTGTCAATCAGTATCCGCGTGCATACGCATGTATATACGTGTCGCGGTATGATCGACAAGCGAACACGAGTCGGCTCACAGGATTCAATAACGCACGCGTACAAAGATTCGAACTGGCAATCTAAATTACATTGTCGATATGTCTAAATTATTGCATACCTATATCAAACATTTTTTTAATCAAAATAGAAACATAAAGCTAAAAAAAGATAGAATAAGAAAGAACAATTTGATGTTCATTGTACAATTTCAAAATTTATGATACTTTTCGAGAAGTATCCAATTATATTTGTCGATACGTGTATACTTTTATTTATTAATGAGGAAACTTGTGTCCGGGGACAACAATCTGCTCTTCAATCGATTGGAATCCGCATGCAATAGCCGTCCCTCGTTAATTATTACTGTGCAATTGAAGTAGAAAATATAGCTTTAATCGCATCAAATACATCGTCGTTATAAATTTTAGTCACGGTTTTCATGAAATCGAATTAGCTGAAAAGAAAACGCTCAGCAGCAATTTCTGTAAGTGGTTCTCCGTCGCTAGGACTGTTGGAGCTCGTAGGATTACGATCGAGATTCAAGACGTAAGCCGCGCGATGCGACGCGAGCTCAAGTCACGTGAACTAAATAAATGAAATAGCATCTCGTCAGGAACCTACATCGCTCATACAAAATTTCCACTTGGAAATATGCTGTCGACGTCGCAGCTTTGAAATTTGAATAATGATTGATAACCGCTCTTTCGCCACTTCTCGATCACCGGCACACTTTTGGCCAAGAGATAGGATAAAGAGTGCAAAAACTTTAAAAGTAAAAATTACTTCCCGTGGAAATAAATAAAAAAAGAATATTTATTTTTACACGTCTGCCACGTCGCATCATCTCGAGATAATCTCCGAAGAAAGTAATTGGGGATTCAATTTATGAAGAGACTTTGAAAGAATGCGATTTACGTTATCCTATTAAAAGTACATTTATAATCGTTCGTCAAATTTTTTAATTAACTCGGACTTCACAACTTTGGTCGCCGCACATTAGCATTTTTATCGTTACTCAATTTATCGCTGAATATTTTATGAGATTTACGATAAATAATCGCTGAAAAGCGTTTATTCTCTTCGGTGTCATCGTAATTATTATGACACTTAAAATTTTGTCGTATAATGTATAATAATTTATTATACGCGATGCAAAAATGCAGGTAATTAGTTTCAAAATATGATTTTCAGACATGTTTAATTGCAACACGGCTAATCGGAAAATTAACAGAGATAAAACAAACAAAAAATGAAGTGTCTGTTTGTCGAGATATGATTTAATATAAAATGTAATTGTATGCGTGCGGTTAAAGGAAATGATTCTCGAATTATCAACACTGATGTATGAAGCGTACCAAATCTTCTTTACGAAGATTGAGTATTGTTATAAAGCATTGGTGAATGTATAATTCGAGAGAACGTGTTCTCTTATCCCATTTTATCGGCGTAGCAAATAGGACTTGCAATTTCGCGCGGTTTGGGCGCAGCCGGTTCATTTCAATTAACGATAACATCGTTTTCCAGATTCTACAAAAGAACTAGCTACAACGATACGAGCCTCAGAAATGATCATAGTAAAAAATGCAAACATTCCGACAGAATTTTACGTTAGTATCACGTAACTCTCAATTAACTCGCGAGTAATAGTAAAACATAAATGAATGTGAATAGAAATACCCATTATTTCATACACTCGTCTACCTTTTCAATGTGAAATTCTGCAGAAAAATATAACGTACAAACTCTTAATATAATTAAATTCTTTGTATATCAATGATAAAATTTTGATCAAATATGACCAGCTATTTTTCATTATATACCATATCTAATCATCTGATAACACACAATGCAAATATAATTATCGCATTTTTGTGTAATACACTTCAGTAAAAAATATACATATATAAATAAGTGTAATGTTAATTAAAATATTTATAAAAAATATTCATTTCTTTCTATCGCGACGAGAGATTAAAGATTTTTCATCGTTTCTCTGGCATCTTTCAAAGTTTTATTAAATTTAAAATTTTCCAGACTTTTACCATTGTCGATGAAAAAAGAAAAAAAAATTAAAGTTTCAAATTTTACACATACATAATGTCAGAACTTTTCACTCTCTACTCGCAAAAACATTTTACTTAAATCCCTTCTTCATCAGTATTTTCATCTCAATGTATAATAATAGAGAGCAGAAGAAATTTGCAGACGCTATAAAATCAATCGATCAAACCGCACGAACACGAGCGGATCGGATCGCAGCTTTAATTTTCCATCGAAATTTGATACACATGATTGGACATGGGAGTTTTCATAGAGTCGCCACTCCGAATCAACAAATCGTGATAAATATAGGTATTTGCCATGGCATGCACCAACCGCGATATATGATAGGACGTGCATTGTTCCGAAGAAAAATAGCGTTGGTATCCTCGTGGTGTGAGATAACGCTGCCTCGTTTCTCACTACATAAACTCATCCGACGTGTACGCATCGACGTCACTACCGCAGATCGAACATTTTGAAAAAATCTCGTCTCTAGCTAAGACAAATCGAACGACGATCGAGGGCAAGCAAAACCGTCGAGAGTTTTATTATAGAATATAAAAAAGTCCTTCGGGGTAAAGATAAATTACGATAAAAAATTGAATCGAGTCATTCGATATTCAGCGAGTCACAAAATGCGAAAAGTAGGTAAGCAATTCTAATAAAATAGCAATTTTATAATCGAACCGGCAATAAAAAGTTTGATAATTATAAAAGCGATAATATAGTATATCTTCGTCAAACGCGACTGCGGTATCACCAAGTTGATCTCTCGAAGAAGTCATCTTACGCGTACACGATGAAAAGATAATTAATTATTCACGGTGCCACATGCCCAAAATTGCTCTTTCTTCGATAAGTATCACCACAGAACAGCAAATGTATAATGTTGTATAGAAACAGACGAAGGGAAGAACTTGATCCAAATATAAATGACAAACTGATGGTAAAACTTATTATGGAATGTTATGATGAAATGCATGATTTAGACAAATGATGTTCTTTGCGTACAAACCATCGTTTCTCGAATGCTTTGTCCTTCGAGAGATTAAATTTATACCCTTGTTACCTCATAAATCTTCAAACTCACGAGTAAGTCATTTTGAATGATCTCCAAGTACCAGACTGTCAAACAGCTAATGTATATTTGATTTTACTGTTCCTTAAATATCCTACATTATTAGACCCTTTAAAATTTTATTCTTTAAGAATTCATGATTCTGTGGAACTTTGATTTTCGAATCTTTCGATCTGTAGTTGCTTAAGCCTTTGGATTATGTGATCTTTTAGTCTTTGAGCTCTTACATTGTTGAATTCTTGAATCCTTGAAGCTTCGTAACAATGGGTCTTTCATTACTTATATACTCTCTCGAGCTTTGACGCTATATCTTTTTGTGCTTGAATACTAAGATACTTGTTTATTGCATCCTTGAAATACTTTAAAAGTAAAAAGAAATTTTATGTCGCTATATGGCGTCAAGCTTTGCGACAAAGTAGTATGAATCATATTTTAAAGGACCGCAAAAAACGATATAAATTAATTATCTTTACATCATTGGTCGCTCCCAAGATGCACTCTTTTCTTTCGAGGTAAATATAGAAGTTTATGTGTGATTTGCTAATAGACATTAAATTACATGCTTTCACTCTCTCAGTCCGTCGAGAAACGTCGACCACTTCCAGGGGGATTCGAGTTTACTCGTACTTCGCTTTTAGCCAGACGCAGTCACTCGCTCGCAATTAGAAATAGGATTATCCCATACCAACGCAAACATCCATATTCTATAATGTCGTACGCGACGCAATAAAGAGCTCGGTATCGTTTTTCGATAAGCAAAATCAAAGGCCGATATTAGAAAAAAAATATTTTTCGACTTTATGAGATTTAAAAATAAAGATAGAAATGACGGTGAAAACTTCCTAAAAGTTTTATAATTCGGAATACTTTAAACTGTTGACATAATAACAATTGCATAATAAAATTACGTTAGAATATCGTACGAAAAGAAAAATTTATATAATACATGCATAAATCTTATAGAACATTTTTTGCTTCTTATGTTTCTAAAATTTGTTGTAATTTCCATATTTATTCCAACAATAATGATAATGTACTTTGGTCTTGTTTGCCCTACGTTATATAAAAAATAATGCAAAATTCTTTTGCATAGAAATAAATCTAGAAAACTCAAATCTAGAAAATTCAAAAATAATGATTATCTTTTATTACGATTAATTCTACGATATAATTAAGTTGATAGATCTAACATTTTGAAAATCTAACAACCTTAACAATTTCTAACGAGTCTAACAATTTCCTATGTGTGAATAATTTAAAATAGAAATTCACCTATTTTGTTGTAGGTCTCCTTTTTCTCAACAAGCCCAGAGCTTTCCAACAAGCAACGCTTCGAATACTTTACCCGTACGATACCTAGCGATCACTATCAAGTCAAAGCAATGGTCGATATTGTATTGACGATGGGCTGGAGTTACGTCTCCATCATTTACGAGGAGAGCAACTACGGTATAAAGGTACGTACTCGATCGTAATGTTCTGTTTTAGATTCATGAACACTAAATCACAAAATTTGTGCAAAATATAAATTGCATACTTTCATTATTAAATTTTATGAATTATGCGTATGCACACAATATGTTGAAAAATCATATTTTTTATCTATTCTTATTTTATTATCTTTCCATTTAACTGATATTTCCAAAGCTCGCGGTAATATTTTTCCCGCATATGTGATGTAAATATTATGAATTTTTTCCCTTCAAAAATTTTTGTGCAGTCAAATATGCAAATAATTTTTTTTATTGTAAATTATATTTTACTCACGCATAATATATCACTTCAGTCCAACATTATTACTACAACGCCATTTTCACAAAGCTTTTAAGCTAAATTAAATATTCATACATAAAATATAGTAGTGTATAAATGCTAAATAAATTAATATAAAATTGCAATGAAGTTTCTTGATGACTTTGTACCGACATTATGTAAATAATAGAGTTAAAAATAATATAACTATTCACATAACAACATTATTATCTTTTACTAAATAGTATATGTAAGAATTTTATTATAAAGTATTTTATTATAAAGTTAAACCTTAATGTAAATTCGATACGATTGTTTCAGGATCATATTCTCTTTAGAAACAGATCTTATTAAAAATGCTCGTAACACAATTAATATGTTTTAATAAACTGGAAAAGAATTTTATTATAAAGTCAAACCTTAATGTATAATAAAGTTAAACCGTAATGTTTGATATGATTGTTTCAAGATCATGTACTGTTTTTAAAAATAAATCTTATAAATAATACTTGACATAATATAACATTAAACTAATAAATGCATTTAATCATACATAATTAGATATTTTACAATTCAAATAATTATAATAATAATTTTAAATTTTGTATAAAAGTATCAAATATCAATGATTTGTTACATAACAATGTAAAATTAAAATTATGTGACAAATGTTTTACGAGCAACTATTTATTTGAAGGTTGTCCCATCTAAATAGATCTTTATGTAACTACAGTCTGACAAATTCATAAATCGTAATATTTTAAGAGTATAAACACGCAAAAACGAGAATAAATGGAAAGTGAAATGAAATTTTATTTGCCAACACAGTCCATTATAATAATTCACAACATTGCGCATATGTGATTTTGATCTCTTCATCACGATCTTTGCTCATGCAAAATATGTGAATATTTAGTATTACGCGAAAATCACAGTGCTTCTTATTTGCTCGGCCCCCGCACAACCAAATAAGAAACGAAAAATCGCAAAATCCATCTCTTTTTTCTCTTATATTTTTTCTCGTAAGAGCATTTACATTCCAGCTTTTCATTACAAGGATCTCTTTCTTTTTCAAGAATCTCTCTTTTTCATCTTTTTAGATTATTATATGAAAATTTAACATATACGGGAATTATATGCTAATTATTCGCTAATTAAGATGTTTAGCTTTATAATCAACTTCGAGTTGTTTAATCTCACCTAATGTCGGGCAGCTAAAGAGTAATAGGAATTTAATAGAGCATTAAATTATGGAGGATGCTAATTAAAAAGCTTTTTTATAAGTACTTTGAACTTTAAACTCTGTTATAAATTATATAATCATCAATAAAAGCTAGTTTCTTATTACGTTATTAAAGGAAATGTATATTTGCGTACTTTGCTAACAATTAATTTAGTTTTGAAAATTTGCTCATAATATATATGTTTCGTTGTAGAAATACAATTATAGATACCTTAGATTTTTTATAAATAGTTATCTGGTATTAATACCTTTCATCCATCAAACAAATTTCGTGCCTCTGTTATGCAATTATAAAGATAGCTAAATTTTTCTTAAGTACTCTAAATATATATACATATACAAATATGTATATGTATTAAAAAAAAATCCATGAAAAGTAATATGAAAAAAGTTAGATTTATTTAATTATATCAAACAAATAAATATGTTGTTTGCTTTTAGTAATCTTTTAATGCAACGTAGAAAAAGGGAGAGAAAGGAAAGGATTTTCCATAAGTTAATCCTCGTGTGAAGAAAACAATCGCACAAATTATGCGACAGAAAGAAGAAATGCAAAAGCAATTCCTACCTTCTCTCGCTCAAAAAAAACATAAAAGAGGAAGTTGCAGCAATGGGTTTAGGTGAAGAAGAATTATAGTTGAAAAAAAGATATCTCCTACTCGGAAGCAACGCTCGGCTTAGCTATATGATAACGATAAATGTCGGGTTAATATGAAAGAACGCTACTTAGCAAGATATACCCAGTTGCTCATCCGTTTTCGACTTGGAAACTAACGCGCTTAAGATGTAAGAATGTAATTGAGAAATATATCAAAATAACGTCCAATAACGGGAAACAATAACTGACAACATTTGTAACTTTTATTGCGGAAGCGAGAATGCATCTTCAATCGATTGCGCTTGCGTTATGAAAGATGCATAAACGTCTTTCCCATGACACTTTATTGCAAAATATTGTTCGTAATGTGTATATTCTATTCATAATACATAAGAGAAGCATGTGCGTATTTTTTTTTTTTTTTTAATTATGTGTATAATGAATTCATTCTCAGCATTTGTCTGCGATCAATTAAAAAATTAATATGAGAATAATCCTATACTAACATGGATCGTAACAAACATTTTTCGTAAACGTATTCAGAGAAAGAACGTAGTTTTATTGCTATTTCAAAAAGAAAATATTACGAATAAATTGTGCGTATACATTCAGAGAATATTTTAAGAAAAATTCAGCAATCTTTATTATTGCATAACAGAGGTATGAAATTCGTTTGATAGAGAGAGCTATATTAATATCCAAATAATCATTTATAAAAAATCTAAGGTATCTACAATTGTATTTCTACAACAAAACCAATATTTATGCACATATTATTTTAAGTCAAGAAATTCGAGGTATTCGAGAATTATTACAAATCGTTTTATCTATAAAAGCAGTAAAAAAGTTTTGATATTCAATCTAAAAATATAATATCTGCAGCTGTGCAGTTTTTGATGATAAAAAATTTCAACAATATAGAGATTAAGCCAACATTTCGCGCGGCCTTCTTGGAACTTCTCATTTGTATTCAGGATACGATTACACTGAAAATCGAAACCGATATATATGTGCTTCAAAGAAACGTAGCTTACTGGAAGAGCAGAACAAATAAGTTTCAGAGAAATGTGACGATTGGAAAAACGTAAAGATGTTAAATATGCAATAAGCATAGCGAGCTCGTTATACTTTGTCGTTATGATATAGTCAGTTGTAAATACTTAAATAGCATACGTATAACATCACATGATACACATAAACACATAGTTATCGTGTGTATGATCGTATTACGTAATAAGATAATAGTAAAATTTAACGTATAATTTAATGTATAATTAGAATAATTGAATGTTATTTTAATGAATTAAAATTAAAAAGATACTGTATACACATAAATGAGCTATGTCTTTTGTCGCTACGTTTTGAGTTAAAAGTTAAATTGTCAATTTGATTTAAAACGTAGCGACAAAAGACAGTAGCTCATTTATGTGTATACAGTATCTTTTTAATTTTAATTAATTAAAATAACGTTCAATTATTCTAATTATTATACATTAAATTTTACTATTATCTTATTACGTAATACGATCATATACACCATAATTATGTGTTTATGTGTTAAATTGTCAATTTGACTGAAAACGTAGCAACAAAAGACAGCTCATCTGTGTATACAGTATCTTTTTAATTTTGATTTATTAAAATAACGTTCAATCATTCTAATTATACATATGTTCGTTAAACACAAATGACAAAGTTCAGTAAAAAACATTTGCTTCAAAATAAGCGAGAAATTTAACAACGTAGGAAGTAACACAGTAGCACGCAATAGTGGGCGTTAAATTTATGCGATCGTTGCCCAATTAATTACACAATTGTCACATTTGCGAGCAAGATCGATATGCCTGCATTAAATTTCGCGGGTATACATACGCGACACGGACTAATGACGCAATCGTATTTAGAGGGTGCATGCCAAAATGGCATTTCAATCTATTAATACATCTTTCGTATTCTCTTAAGGATATTAAATATTTAATTAGTGTATTATCATTTGATAAGCAGCGATTTTAATTATAAGTATGGCATTACAAACAGTGAAATATCATTGATAATTTGTTAGTAATAGCCGATTTTTGACTGAAATCTTACTACCACATTTACCATAAAATATAAGAAGCAAAGTATGAATGTTTTCACTGAAAATCAGTGAGTATTTCTCTGAAATCTTATTATTGTTTTAATCCATGTTTTTTTACTGTCAATGTAGAAGAGTAATGTCACAATAAGTACTGACGACACAATCGGAAAAAAAATATAACACGTTATCCAGCAGATCAGAGTTTCACTGCCTATCATATGTGAGTACTGATTATCCCTGCGCGTGAATTCTTGATGGAATTTATAATACTATATTCCGTTCTTCGAATGAGAACAGGAAAAAAATAAACAAAAGACTATTATACGTTTTGTTACGTTATTTAGGTCCCTTTATGTATGACAATCAATCTTGCATGATTCGCGATTAACGATGTTATCGGTAAGCCGGAAATTAGGGAATTAGAGAATAGCATATTAGTTCGGATGAGTGTCGGATGCAGTTTCGTTTACACGTAGAATATCCTAAAAAGTCTCCAGAATAATTTCGCAATATTTTTGCGTATAAAAAAAAATAATTATTCCTAAAGCGTATTTGCATGCGAGCTACAAAAACTTTGAAACGCGAAATTTTAAATAAAATAAAGAAAATATCTCGATATTTAATATAAAAAATACTTGATTATATTTTAGAAGGAATGTGTTTGTGAAATACACACTTTGTTCACTTTACCGATAAAATTTGAATACTATGCGAATGGTGAGTAAAACGATCGTTTCCACTCTCTACAAATTCTTTGACTAATTTGCTTATATACTACTCGTACGTGCTATGTATGCAATGTTTTGTAAAAGAAAAAAATATAATAAAGTATATAATGATATACAAAATCCGTGAAATATGATAACCGTAAATATATATAAAAAATGAAGACATTCCGAAAAGTTCAAAATAAAAGATCTTTAGCCTGATAAATATTTAAAAGGTGCGAAAAATCCGTACAGTCTTTCCCTAAACTTTCCTCTCCTATTCTCTGGAGATATCACGCTTATCTTTTTGACGATCCCTCTCGTACCCTAAGATTTCATTTATGGAACATCTTTCAGAGACACATACATACTTTTCCACATTTTTACGTCAACGCATTTAATTTATATAAAATTATTTCTTCTCATATTTATTCGCATTATTTTAATAGAACTAGAAAATTACGAACTCGTGAAATAAATGTGACAGAGTCAAAGCACAGTTATTATGAAACATAAAACTTTCTCACAAACAATGATTTTAAATCCCTTTGCACAGTACGAAACATTACCTCCAACTCGCGATGTCATAAATATAATGGTGGAGCTAGTATATATGTGAATTTGATAAATGTTCAACAAGACACGTAAATGATTCGAGAGTTCTCGGTTTCGCGAAGTCTCTGAATAATGGGACGTCTTGTAATGCTATAAGATTGGCATTTACGTGCGCAGCCAAATTCAATTCTCGGGCGTGCCAAAAGCAAACAAGAGTTAGCATTATGATGTCCAATAGCGCCCTATAATAATGAAGGAAGAACCTCGCGCGCTTTGCATATATAATACGCAGGAACTTGAAAGCCTCTTCAGCTAGCTACTAATTTAACTATTAATAATTTATCGCAAAATTCGTCAAACAATGAATGTATAAATGATCCATATTAAGAGAGCAACTGAGTCATACTGGATTTCGATACCAAATTCTGATAAAAAAAAACACATCTTTAATATCTTTAATATTTTTCAAAAAATAAAATGCTCATGGAATGAAATATAAGAATATTATATTTATATTAAATCCATATCAATAATAATTTTATCGCAGTAAATGAAATATTTATATTCAAATATACAACAAATTTAATATTGTAATTAACTATTTTTTATTTTAACGCAATTATTTTTTATTGTATTAGTTTTTATAATCTTTTTAGCACATTTTTTAATACTTTTTTTAACATTTATATTTTGCTTCTAAAAAATTTTATTATTTTTTTTAATTCTTAAAAGATGAAAAATTTTAATTCTATAAAAAAATTGCTCAATAATAGAATTTCTAATTGTATTAATAATCCTTTTGTTCATTTAATTCTTCAAGAGAAAGGTCACTCATTCTAATATCTTTTATGTAGTAATTATGGAATCTGTCATTTAATCTTTTACTATAATATATCGATTCACTCAACAGTAAATTGCTAGACATCTGTAAAAAATTACTCGCAGTGAAGGCAATGCAATTTTACCAATCGATCGAGCTGACATTCTATAATAATAGTATAAAAAATCACCTTTTATAATAGGTAAAAAGCATAACAATTTTTATTCACTTTTATAGATTTATTATCTCGAGAAATGTGTTAGAAAATAGATAAATGAAAGGAAAAAAGATGGCACATTCACGTGCATTTAACTACGTTTTTCCGTATGATGACGCGTCCAATCGATAATACCATTTGGAACGGGATTGGAAATCAGCGATCTCAACTCGACACACGGATCGCATACGAAAAATGCGCGTGGAAAGAGTAGTCTAGGAGGAGCGGATCGATTGGAGCACACAAACACACGTACACGCACGCGCATATGTATATGTACATATATTGTATATATGTGTGTGATTTCGTGGCACGAACGGAACATTTTTCAACGAGCAATCGAAAGCCAAAAGCACGGAACAAATGGGGATTTTTATTACGAATATCCATTTGTCTGACAAAGTAACGGAGTTTTTCTACATCACTATCGAATCTAACTACGAAAGTCAATTGTGCGATTTATTTTATGAACAATGTAACGCGAGAATCTTAATAATATAAATTTGAAATTACACATTTCTAAATTATTTATATAAAGCCACTTTTTAATGTTATTTATATTGATCAAAAAACGAATGTTTCAACAGTATAAGATGACAATGACGATAAAATGAGGAAAATGTAACCAGTATTGTCATATTACAATTTCATTGATTTAAAATAAATTTAAATTCACCAAAGGCTGTTTAATATATCTAACACTTTTATTAACAATGATTATCGGATGCAATATTTCAATAGCATAAATTAATTAATAATTACACTACCATGCTCATGTTTTAATGATAATGCAGCGATCTTTATTATATGTAAATACAATATTATTTTCATCCTGATTTTTTGAACAAAAAGATACAGTCCTTAGATGTTTCATTTAAATATGCATTTTTCCATTAAGATACATTTACTTCTTGCTCCTTTATTCATTCTATATGACCATTTTTCTTCTAAAAGATCTCAAAGCATTGCGTGCGCTGTTTGATGAAAGTCGGCATTAGATGCAATGCATTATTGGAAACGGTTTCAATAAAATATATCCTTTTCTATATATCTTTCTGCATTGCAGGCTTTTGAAGAACTCGAGGAATTACTAGGAAAACATAACATATGTATCGCTATCAAAGAAAAGTTGGTGAAGGATTCTGGGGTTGCTGAAGAGATCGCCTATGATAATATTGTTTTGAAGTTGTTGACAAAACCACGAGCAAGAGGTAAGAAATAAAGAATTAATAAAACCAGAAAGAGTACTCATGTAGAAAAAACATATAAAAATTATATTTGTTTTCTTTCTTATTGTTAATGTGGCTTTAGCATCCAATCTGTATGCATATGTTTATACGTATCTATGTCATAATGTCAAATATTCCGTTTGATATGTACTTAAGGGATATTATGCTAATATAATACACCATATTTTTCTCTCTCTTTTCTCCCTCGCCTCTCTTTCTTTTCCCCTAAATTACAAATCCAATCTGTAAGTGAACCGCATTGAAATCTTAATCGACGTTTCTCCGATGACACCCTCCCTCCTCAATGGGATAAATGTCATTAAAAAGAGGATTTAAATTTAAATTATATTATCAAAGAAAGAAAGAGAGAGAGAGAGAGAGAGAGAGAGAGAGAGAGAGAGAGAGATGGAGAGCCCTGGCGCGATCTGTTCATTTACGCAATTTTATTCTCTTAATCGATATAAATTACCCTAAAATATAAACGAATCTCAAACGCAAGATTGCAAAATAGTATCGATGACGAACTTAACAAAGATCCTGAATTCCGTTCGGTTCGTTTCGAAAAGTGATGAAATGGGTTCATTAACGAAATGGAAACGCGACTAGCTCCGCAAACGGCACTTTGTTCGAAACTTGTTTAAAATCTACAGAACTCTCACCTAACTCCCTCATTTCTTCCTAAGATCTTCTAAAGCGAGCGAACGCTAAATCCCTAGCTTTCTTTGCAGATCGGATGGATATCAAATGCAGTTTGACTTGTTTAGCTTTAATCGAATGTTTGCACATACATATATGTTCCAGCAAATTATTAAAGAAACAACAAAGTATTTCGCTCAAGATAAGAAATTAAATATTTTTTTCTGATATCTGTATCATTTTCAATGATTTTGTCTTAAAAGAAAAATTAGCACCGACATTTGGAATTCATTTAAAAATCAATGGAATATATTAATTATAAGATATTAATATTCATAAATTCTTAAGATAAAATATAAAAACGTATTGAAAAATATATAAAATTGCAATATCAAATTCGCGTAATGAACTATATAAATGTTACTTGTTACGATAGTTAAGATAAATACAACTAAACGTAATCTAAATATAATCACGCAGTTTGCATGATTACACAGACTAATAATATAATATAGGTATATTTCACATCTCGATTTGTTTAATCGGTATACATTGGTAAACAGAAATTACGTTTATAATTTACATAATGCTAGTATATCGTGGTCATAACTACAATAATAGCAAAACGTATATTTGCACGTAGTGCTAAGAAAATATCAAAATCCTTTAATGTAAATTTATAAAAAAAATTTAAATACGATACAGACACACCGGATATGGATGGCAGGAAAACGAGCAAATGTATATTGCTATTTTCGCGGACGTAAAATGAGAAATGGTGCAAAGCGAAAACAGTTGTAAGGCGCGCATATAAAAATTATGACATTGTCAAATAATTTTCCCTTCATATATATATATATATTCCACTTGCACGTATACAACAACAAGAAGTACAATTAATTACACAAGACTTTGAACACGCGCCGAAATGGTAATCTTATTTCAGAGAAATCGAGATTAATAACTCAATTTGACGAGCAAAGATGTTCCTTTGCCACCTCGGGCGAATAAATATTTCATCCATTTAATCCATTCAACACAGTCCCGAAATCCTTGGTGACTTTTCAAATCTTTCGTACTTACGTAACTTTCTAACAATATTTTTAATAAATAATATTTTCAACGACATTTTTCTTCTAAAGGAAAAAAACTAGTTTTCCAAAATTAATCATTACACGTCTAAAATAAATTTGGCAAAAAGTTTGCAAAAATACTTCAAGAGATATATTGCAGAGAAAAAGAAAGAAAAAAAATTAACATTTCATGAACAGCAAACATGCAATGTCTATTAATAAAGCGGAAAGGAATGATATTTTAAAACTTAGTGCAGGAGATTTTAATATTTTTATCTTTTCCGCTGTACAACTACAAATAAATAGAAATAAAACTAAAATAATATCACATAAAGTACATTGTTCTATATAATTATAGTCTTAAAACATAACGATGGCATGGAAAAATTACTGCGTAATTTTGTCTCGTTACTTTAAATTAAAAGTACCATTTAATCGAGAAAAGCAGATACGCGATTTTAGCAAACAATATACGATTGTTTAAATGTACCTATACTATAACATTTTCCGATGAGGAAAAAGCATTTCGCGATAAATGTCTATTTTATGCAAGAATTTCCTTGTAGACTTTTTTATAGCTAACTGTTCTCGGCTTCGTCAGGCTCGACCTTATGCTCTCTCTTTTACGCCCCCTCATTGATTTCTACCGGATCCTGTATAATCTTGATTCCCATAGGGAACGCCGTTCACGACTCGGAGCGAGACATTTCATTGGCATTTTTTTCAATAAAAGGCTTGGTCCTTTCTGTGCTTTCGGGAAAATGAGTTTCTGCCGCGATAAAATAAAACGGTATGGTGAAAATTACCGCGGTAATAGAGATAAGACGACAAAAGGTCACCGCGTTTCTCGAACGAAATTTTCGCCCCAGCCCCTTTAACTTTTGTACTTGCCGCAGGCTGCATTATTTTCGGTTCCGATCAAGAAGTTGCCGGAGTCATGAGGGCGGTTAGACGATGCAACGCGACCGGCGCTTTTTCCTGGATTGGAAGTGACGGTTGGAGCGCAAGAGGATTAGTGAGTAACGGTAACGAGCCGGAAGTCGAGGGCACTCTATCGGTCCAACCTCAGGCGAACCCAGTTAAGGGTTTCGGAGAGTACTTCCTCAACTTGACCGTCGAGAATAATCGAAGGAATCCGTGGTTCGTCGGTAAGCGAAGAAGCGACCGAAGAATGTAACGCGACGAGAGCGAAACTTGGCAAATTCTAACTTTGTACAACCACTGGCAATATATGTATTCACGTATGTTGTGTATATAATATATATATATATATATATATATATATATATATGTATATATACGCGCACGCTTGCGGCTTTGTTACAAGTAAGAAGCCAGACTTTACTCTCAATATATATTGACAAACTTTTAACACGGTTTTACTATCGTAAGTAGACCGATATTTAACGCGATTAATTGGCCACCAAGTAAAACGATCACAATTTTACTAATGTATGTATGGTATTTCTTTTCTAAATAAAACAAAAAATATTGTAACAAAACGAAAAACTCTGATAAAATACAAATTTAGAAAACAGGCTAATAAAAGTTAAAGGCGCAAAAGTTAGACACAATAAACTGATTTTATATATGAAATTTTTCTTTAGTTAATTATTTGAAGTTTCAGTTTTTTTCTTTGGATTGTCTTCAGCATTGATTAGCAAAAGAAATGCACGAGACATTCAAATTAAATAAAGAAGAATTTAAAAAAACAAGTTACGCCTAACTTCTGACTCTTATTAGACTTCTGTTTCCTACCTAAATTTGTATTTAAAAAAGTATTATATACAATATTATTTGCTTCTATAAAAATCACTATTATTCTCGATACGTAAAATTTGAAAGACACGTAAGGACATGTTTCGCCAAGTCGTTTCGGATCAATCATAAAATATATCAAACTTTCACGTACTTGTCAAATGCAACGAGAGCAAATCTTCACGTTAATTTTAGAATTTTGGGAAGATCATTTCAAATGCCGATATCCGAACTCATCCTGGACACCGTACAATACAAAATATACGAAAAATTGCACAACGGAGGAACGTCTCACCAAAGAAAATATAGTTTTCGAGGACCAATTACAGTTTGTTTCCGATGCAGTGATGGCATTCGCTTACGCTTTTCGGTATAATTAAAATTTAATCGTCGACAGATATTTCTGAAAATTGTCGAGAAAATTGTGAAAAGAGTGCTGTTATTCTTTTTCCTAGAGATATGCATCATGAGGTTTGCGAAGGAAAACCAGGATTGTGCGATGCTATGAAACCAACTAAAGGAACAACGCTTCTACAATACCTGCGTAAGGTGGATTTCGAGGGTAAGCTGACAAAGCTATTTCTTGAAAGAGCTTACGAGGTGCGAGTCTAGTCGATGGAATGTTTATTACAAATCAATACGATGTCTAACCCCATGATGTGTTTTTACGTATTAAATAAACTTGAACGCAGTAATACATTTATTAAATAAAAAAATATTTTAGAAAGACCTATATCTCTATTATAAAATATAGTGAAAAAACTATCTTTACCGTGATTAGTTGCTTATACGTCTCGATCAAGTTTTCATGGTACTCATAGGCGATCAAACGACTACGTTTAAGGTCTAAGCGGAGACAAGTTTAGATTCGACAAAAACGGCGACGGGCCCGCGCGGTACAACATCATACATTTCAAGCAAATCGAGCCGGGCGAGTACAAGTGGATTCGCGTCGGTAAATACCTGGAAGGCGAACTGCGATTGAATATGTCTGGTAAGCCCTTTCTCGTGTCTCGCGACGCATACGAATGTCTGTACCGGGTTTATATACAAGCGTATTATAATATAATGTTCTATAACATCATCATCGTGCATGTGTATCTGTTTTAGAAATCCAATTTAAGCTCGGGCATCCTCAACCACCCGAGAGTGTATGCTCCTTGCCTTGCGAGGTCGGTCAAGCAAAGAAATATGTCGAGGGTGAAAGATGCTGCTGGCATTGCTTTAATTGCACTCTATATCAGGTATGTCAATGACATATCGTTAAGAGTATAATTAAACTGCTAGACCTCAAATATTTGTAATTTAACTTGCCACTTCTTCAATTAAAAAAAAACGCGCACCTATTGTATTGTAGTAAATTTCCAGTTTTGATAGAAATTTGGGTAAAAAATACAATATACCTATCTTTGTGTATAGATTCATTTATCTCACAATCGCATAATAATAGAAATTTCAAAAATACTGCATATTGGTTTTGTTCGATATTTTCGTTGGATATCTGTCAAATAGAGAAATATTGTAAAAAAATATACATATATATGTATATATATATATATATATATATATATATATATATATAACTAACTATAAAACTAAAATGGATTGTGGCTTGTTAATTAAACAACTATTATAAATATAATAGAATAATAGGGCAAAAAGCCAATGCAGGATGGCTATTGGTTATCCAATAAATTTGTTTCAGGGCTTAAACTCTTAAATCTTATAATCATCCTGCATATTGATTCAAATTTATTCTACTATTCTGTTAATTTTAGTAATTATTAAAGATATTTATATGACTCTCATTTTATTATTTAAAATTGTATATCTATTATATATTTTTATTTTGTGTAATTTATAATATATTGTTTTCAATATGAACATAGAAAAGATTTGTAAGAATTCTACTGTAGAAATCTTCAAATATATATCGAGGAAAGAATTCTTTCTTACGAACAAATATACAAACAAATATCTTTGAATAATGCTTGAATGCGAAAAATCAATATGCTTCGAAAAGAAATAAAATGTTAAGATACAAACGTAGACTAAATTTTGTAACTGTATGGAAATCGAAATATCAAAAGAGAAATGTCGAACACAACAATTTCATATAGTTACTGCGCTTTGTTGTCTAAACAGATACGACATCCCAAAGACGAAACGCAGTGTATTCAATGTCCTCGAGGTACATTGCCCGATGAAACTCATTCGATATGTCGAGATGTTCCGGAAGAGTTTCTACGCCCGGAAAGCGCTTGGGCAATAGGTGCAATGTCTTTTTCTGCCACAGGAATTTTGGTAAAGTATTTCTCTTTTATCACACTCTCTTTTATTCACGAATCTAACTTTCGAAAACCAAGAGAGCTTAAACGAAAAGCACGAAAAATATATGGAGAGAAAAATAGATTTAATTTATCTCTCAAACTCTGCAAAAATTGCATCATATGTCTTATATGTCATATATTATCATATGATTTATATGATTTTTTTTTATAAATAGGTAACGTTATTCGTCGGCGGCGTTTTCCTCAGACATAACGATACGCCTGTTGTACGTGCATCTGGACGAGAACTCTCTTACGTTCTTCTCTCAGGAATTTTACTCTGTTATCTCGTCACATTTGCTTTGATACTTAGACCCGCAGACATTGTCTGCGGTATACAAAGGTAAATAACTAAACCTTTTCGAGTATATTCAGCAAGTGTTCCAACGTAATAGCATTAATCTTTTTACTCTCATAAACTATCCAACTTACTTTATAAATTACATTTTTCATGTACAATTAAATTACTACTTAATTAAAATTTTTTTACTAGTTTTACATGATTTACAAATTTAATAATCTTCCAACTTTTCTTCTCATTTCTTAATTATAATTCATTATAGCAAAAGTAAATATTTTCTTTCATTCTTTTGATATCGCGGAAGAAACAATGTCTAAAAACAAATTTTAAAAAGTTAAACGAATCTAACACAATGAAAAATAAGATAACTAAATCTTTGTGTATCAATCTATAGAGAAAGAGATATCCAGAGCTAGAAATATGAGATATACGCAGAAAATATTTCTCGATATTAATAAAATGTTATTTGAGAGAGATAGAATGTTTGTTGAGATAAAAAATAAAGATATAAAAATAAAAAATTTGATCTCTGCTGACAGATTTGCCGCGGGCTTCTGCTTCACCGTAGTATACGCGGCATTATTAACGAAGACCAATCGAATTTCAAGAATCTTTAATGCCGGAAGCGCAAAAAGACCATCCTTCATATCACCGCGGTCACAACTTATTATCTGCTTTGGATTAGTATTCGTGCAAATCTTAATTAACGGAGTTTGGATAATCATCGATCCTGCCAGAGCGATGCATCACTACCCGACGATGGAAGATAATTTGCTCGTTTGTAACAATTACATCGACGCCAGTTACATGATCGCGTTCGCGTATCCTACAGTATTAATAGTCGTGTGCACCGTCTACGCCGTCCTCACGAGAAAAATTCCAGAAGCCTTCAACGAGAGCAAGCACATTGGTAAGTTTACTTTTTCCGCTTCGTACCACATCACGCATATTGTACAAATATTCGTACCATGTTTCACGCTATGTGCTTTGTAACTCAAAGACTTTGATAACAATTAAAAATAATGATAAAAAATACTTGATTTTTAATTGTACATTGCAATTCAAATAAATGCAATAATAATGCATCATATAACATATACAGAATGTCCCAAAATTAATAGCAAACCTTTTAATGGCAGATTCCTGGGATCTTTTGGAGACGATTTTTCCTCGACGAAAATGTCGAGACATCAATAATTTTCGAGTTATAAAGTGATTGAAAATAAAAGATTTTTCACAAACTATAGTCTTGTGGAAATAAAATATTAACAAAATCACATTCGTTTATTAATTTCATGTAGAGTTTACTTTAATAGAATTTTAATTTAAAGTTTAATTACGAAGATACATGATATGGCAAAAATTAGAAATATGCAAAAAATGATGACCTCCCTCGATATTTCTGCTGAGAAAAAATCGTCTTTAAATGATCCTAGGAATCTGCCATTTGCTATTAATTTTGGGACACCCTGTATATATTCTAGCTGCGAAAAAAATAATAAAGGAAATATCGATCGAAAATTATAAAACATTAATGGATTGAGTCACGCAATTACGTAATTGTTACGTAATTGTGGTACGTAAAAAATACTTACAAAAAAATATTGCATCCTTTATTTGTACGATACGATGTAACGATTATTTAACGAAGGATAAGAGAATAGCATCATTAAGAAACAACATCTCTAATGTAGGTTTAACGATGTATACAACGTGCGTCATATGGTGTGCTTTCATACCTTTGTATTACGGTACCGGAAGCAACGTTGCACTGAGAATTACTTCGATGTCGGTCACAATCAGTCTTTCTGCGTCTGTAACGGTGGTTTGTCTCTTCAGTCCAAAGGTAAAGATCATTTTGAAACATTTGATAATGCTCGGATTTCAAAATAAATATTCTATCACTCAAAGATTGTTGAAATTTTTTGGAATCGCGAGTGTGCTACATCTCGTGTTTATAAATGATAAACAAATCTCAATTTGAATTCAAGTTAATGCATTTGCTCTCTCATATGCATAATATTATAAATTTGTATTTTTATTAATATTTCTCTTGAAATGCACGTTTGAGAAAATAATTTCTGAAAATTAGAATTTAGCATAAAATTCTACTTTTGATGTAAAAAAAAATTAAAATGAAACAATTATCGAATGTCACTCACTGGGCGACCTACTAATTTGCGACCTTAATTTAATTTATTGTAATAACGATTCATGTATTGTTTATATGCGCAGCTATACATTATTTTAATCCGACCTGAGAGAAATGTGCGTCCAACCGTGAGGGCAGGAAGGCCTAATCTGACGAAAAGTTCAGCGATAACTGCCACAAATGCTTCAAATATGATGGGGCCAGTAACGGCGACGACGGTTTTGACAGCCGCAACTTGCGATCAGAATAAAGCAATTAAAAAACATATCGCTATAGACTGCTCCACTCAAAGCGAGTGTAAATACGTTTTTGAACTTTTTTTTCATAAAATATGATTATTCAGGGTGTATACTCTCGGGAAAAACCTGGAATTCTCAGAGAATTTTTTTCTACCTTGAAAAATCCTGGAATACTCATAGAATTTATTTTAAATTCAGAGAATTTTTTTTTAAATTGCCTCTTTGCTTTTATTTTCAAATATAGCTTTAAAGAGTATAAAATTTATTAAATTTATATAAAGTATAAATAATATTATTTTATTATAAATATATATATATTATTATATAGAAAATATTTTATTTATGTTAAAAAATTATGTATAACAAAAATAAACTTAATTTAAAATTGTATTTAAAATTTTTTTAAATACTTTAATTTTACTTAGAATTTTGAACAAAAGTACATATGGAAAATCATGGAATTTATTTATAAGATTTGAGTATACACCCTGTTATCATTTTTAATATATATATATATATATATATATATATATATATATATATATATTTGACTTTCCCCTCATTTTTTGTTTGCAGGCTACGAATTACAATTGAAGGATCAAAAAAACGGGAAATCATTAACAACGTGTACTTCGCGATCAACTCAAACGACTAACAACGAGAAGGAATTTGTGACCATTGTGGCGATCAATAAAGAATCGCCGGATGTAATCGCGTCTGTGAATAATAAGGAGTCAAAAAATAGCACAATTACGACAAAACGACTCAATAGCAATGCAAGGGTAGATAACGGACCGCTCTCTCAGAGTGATCTCTCTTTATAGCGGAAGGCAGAAGTGTCTACAAAGAGAGAAAAAGAATCCGTATTAACTGTTAATTTAAAACCAATCTCGAAAAATCCTGTTATCGTCTGATTATTTATTCTTTATATATTATATACGATTGGAACTATGTCAATCAAACTGAACAAGCTAGATATTTTTCAACGCAAAATATCTGTTTCAAAAATTGTTTTAGAAATTATTTGTCATCAGCCCATTAAACACTAACAATAAGTAACAGTAATATAACATCGATGTTATAATTTCCTACTCAACAATAATGTAACCGCAATATAATATGTCCAACGTAACAGTTACGTTGTTGAGTGGGAAATTATAATATCGATATTATATTACTGTTATACTTGGTGTTTAATAGAGATGTCCCTTACCAAAATTTGATGGTAAAATGATAACAATTAGACGCCAAATTATCCAATATTGTGCTCTAAATTATTCATTAGTAGAACAAAATTAGAGTAAATTGAAATTATGCTTATCATACATATATGATATAACATATGTTGTATATCATGATGCGCGATAAATTACAAGTCTATATAATATTAAATTAAGAAAATAATATAAATAAGTATATAATGAACTTTAGAATTAAAAATGTTTCATCTGATTATGCAATATAATGTGCGTGAAAAATATTTGTATAATTAATAGTGCATTTCGCTGTCATGTTGACAGTATATTTACTGTTAATAGATAACAACTGGATATCAATCCTCTTGATAAATATAATTTTAATGAAAACCAAGAGATTCGATAAATTAACTTCACTCTCTTGCATATTTAGTGAATATAAGATAAATATTCAATATTAAATTCTCTTATTTAATTATCTTTTATATAAAACAGTCCAAATTTTAATTGATAATATAATTATTAAATTTTTCTACTATTTCAAAATGTAATAAAAAATGTGTTAAATATTTTAATCTACTAAAAATATTTTGTTACAAACTTAAAGATTTCGTTTATTTTTCTTGATATCAAAAATTAGGACTTTCTTTTACAAATTTATAGAAATCGGTGTTAAAGATATATACTTTTAAAAAAAATTGTGTTGTTTAAATATTCTTATTTTTTTTATATATATAACATCTGTAACATTTAATTACGAAGTAATTTTGTAGTATCTTTTTGTGTATATAGTTATATATCTTTGTATCAAAATCATCTTCGACATCATTTGCATTGTTAAATATAACGAGTGCTATGAAAAAAAATGTGTAAATATAATCTGATAAATTAAAAAATTTTCCTGTTTAGAGTAAAAGTAATTTTCTGATATTGTATCTACAAGATACAATAATCTGATAAAATTCATTAGGTAAATACATAAATTTTCTAAAAATATTAAGAATAATATTCGTGTGTGTGTATATATATATATATATATATATATAATCATTGTAAATATCTATTTGTAAATATAACTTAAGTAAATTTAACGTCCACTCTCTTCATCGCGTTTAACATTTCAATAAAACATGTGCACATATACATATACTTTAGAGTAGATATTAAATGTTAAATAATGTTAAATATATATATCTTTTTGTAAATATTTTCTGCAGACTATAGGAATTGCTCTCCGTAGAAATAACATACGCAAATTGCGTAGTATTATAACGGTATAGTGCAAACCTATTTTCAAGCTACGATCCTTGTTAATAAAATTTATTTAAATGTGCTATAAAACAAATGAACGATTTGAAGTTTATGTTCATTTTATAGCATTAGATATACACATATATGTTATACTTACGATTATATCAAATTGCATATATACATATGTCAATAAATTCTTCTTATTTTAGAATTATTACGAAAAAATTTATAAACATTGCATTCAATCAGATTTTACGATCAATAATCGAATATTCGATCATTTATAAATACGTACACATACATATTATACGTTCACATACATCATTTATCTACTTATATTATTTCTTTAATTTTTTTCATAAAGAGTTTTCTCATAATAGATTATCATCAATTTTTTATGTGATCTATGTGGATAGAAATGAAATTAATTATAAGTGTATATATATCTGTAAAGCTCATCAATACTTATTTGCCTAAAATATTTTAATTCTCTAAGCACAAATTTTAATATGAAAGTATAGATGTATTAATAAAATTCTGTTGCATTTCTCAAAACATAACATTATTAAAAAATATATTTTTTTTCTTCTTATTAGGCTTTAGATATAAATGAGAATAATAGTATTTTTCCTTAATTTAGAATGCATTATATTTAATATCATATATAGCAATATAATAATATAATATTAAAATTATTAGAAAAAATATTGTATAAATGCAATTTAGTATTCTGCATATTATCGTACGTATCAAAAAGATTTTCCAGTATAAATTTGTGTACACTTAAGCAAATATAGTAATTTAAGATTTATAAAAAGATCGAAATTATATATAAAAATCACAATACGAAACAACGCAACAAATAAATGTACCGCGACAGGTATTCAAAGTATATGTATAATATGTGCATATTACATATACAAAATAAATTATACATAATTGTACATATAATACACAGACCATATATATATCAATTTATCTTAGCACGTTCCGAATCTATTAAATTATATATTATTTTGAATTATGAAAAAACAGAGTGAGTGATTATGCAATATATCATTCCAAGAAATGCAATGCAAAGACACAATGTCAAAAATTATATATATACTATTATATATATACACATATATCATGCGATCTAAAGATATTTTAAATACATTATAAATTAAAATAGGAAAAAATAGTAGCATAATGTATCCATTAGAATAAAAGTTATAAAATAAAATCGACGATATGATGTAATCATCGTGTACTATTTTCCTTGCCTAAGCGAATTTTACGAAGAAAAAATAACTCCTCACTATCGTTTTATTTTTTTAATGCAAATAAAGATGACTTATTATAAATATATTATAATTATGTTATATATATATATATATATATATATATATATATATATATATTATCAGGATGTATCTAAATAAGTGCGAAAAATTTTTAATGATTCTTTGTCGAAAATTATGGGAGATTTTTTTTTCTTATATAATATACTCTTATATTCCTCCCCGTGGAGTTATACTTTTCTAAAATGAGAGGTAAGTTATTTTTTTCAAATTACAGACTAATTAAAAAATGAAATGAAAAATATCCAAATTTCATTTTTTTGTCTGAAATTTGAGAAAAAAATAAAAACTTTATTTTATATATAATATAATATAAAACAATTTACAGATACTGTTTATTTTAACAAGCTACTTACAAAAGATACAGACAAGATGATGTTCAAATCTATGTTCAAAAAATGTAAGAGAGAGGAAAAAAAAATATGAGTATCCAAATAGTTTTCCACAAGGGTTTATCTCCTTCATTTTTGATTATTTGCTAATTTATTCAATCGACATTATAATCAGATAAATATTGCATAATGAAGAACATTTGCACAATCTCACAATCCGTGATCAAATTTAAGATGAAAGGGATATCATAAAATATACGAAGAAACTCAGGATATCATGAAATATGCAACTGAAGAAAGTCATTGCATACGCTTGTATCGATGAAAAAAAAATATCAAAACATGTAAACATGCGTATAAAATTTTATAGAATATATGTATGTATATTATCTGGATGTTCTTATATATATTTAACATTTTCTATAAAATACACATATTTACATTTTTGATATTTCTTTTTATATCGTTCTACAGATACATACCTACAAGCTGCATAAATCTTAAAGCCTAACATTAGTTTTCTTTAACTGAAAGAAACAAGGCAAATGTGAAGGAGACGAGACAAACGTGAAGGAAAGAGAGGCCTTAGAGAGGATATAGAAAAAAGCCTCGCTAAAAAATATTATCCTTTTATTCGAATAGCAATTACAACGCTCTTCAACGGACGACTGACATTTTTTTCACTACATCAGTAGTATACCTTCATGATTTTTTGAACATACGAGTTTCCTCAAAAACAATCTCTCCGACTAGTTATGTTTTGTTCCGTCAGTAAATTGTTTAGTGATTACAAATCCTTACGAAATGAGAATCTGTAAAGCCTGAACGCAAACAGTACGAACGATACTATCGTTGGAAGTACATGTAAGCATCGACCAACTCGTCACAATGGGGCGTACCGTTTTATGTGATAACTGGCAATGGGTAGGCACGTATATATTGATAAATATGCAATGCATTTTGCATTATTTATCAAATTTTCATCTAGAGTCAAATCCTAATTAAATTCTTCACGCCCTACAAACATAAAAGATGATGTCTTTGGTCTAAAAAAAATAAACAGATAAATCACAAGAATATTCAAGCTTACCTACAAAATTATCTTTGTTGCAAAGAAAAGATTCATTGTTTTCAAATTCTCGATGTAAAGACAATCGTCAGATATATCTCGCTAGATATACTTTGTATGTACATATTAAAACTCTTTATTCAGTTCGTATTAAATAAATAAATGATTAACTTTGTGAATAAACGCTTAAATTTTGTACGAACAACTACCGAAATTATTTATACAGCAAATATTAACTATGATATTTGAAATAATCACAGAAAAGTATGTATGTGCGTATAAAATATGTATGTGTATGTATATTACTAAACACATTGCAACTATTAATTAAAGAAATCGACCTCGTTTTTCCAAAAAGTTCTAGATAATATGTGTTGTGTCAATAAATCATTCTTACAAATGTATTTCAATAAGAAAAAATACTCTCGATTTTATTTGCTGTTATAGCATGGTAATCCCCATAAACATTACATAAAATCGAATAGTTTTATACATTTGCATGCTGTTCGATATTATATTTAGAGCATGTTCTATAAAATATTATTTTCCTACTTTCTAAAAATCTCTATAAATTCGATATTTTAGATACACAAAGGATTTTCGATTCGACATGAATTATCCATTGTTTGTATTAATAAATTTGTTTCAATATTACTCTTTTCATTCATTATTCAATATAATCTAATTAAAAAGTTAACACAAAAATAACCGATAATTTTTCCATCACTTTCAATTCAGTGATAATAATGGCATTTTTATCCTCAATTTTTTGACATGAAATTTGAAATGTAAAATCTGATTCAACGAACGAATAAATGATGCAAAGAATGCGCATTGCGCAAGAAAGGACTATTGAATTTATGTCTTCCAAAACTTACCACTGACTTTGATACATTTGACCTTCTGTAACTTCTTCTTTTCTGATAGCACCGGCATGGCTTCTCTACCCGATTCACTTCCTCCTGCGCCAGAACTACCGCCAGCTACATCAGCTTCTTGAATGTTACTACCTCCTGCTTGAGCCATGAGAGATTTCTTTATATTAGAAATCTAGAACATAACAGGAAAAAAACCCATATAATTTGGCAATTAAATTTTTATAATTAATTTGTCATTGTATAATTAAATTAAATTTTTAATAATCGATAAAATGGATAATTAAAGAGACTCACATCTCTCTGTATTCTTTCTTTATGATAAGTAGCTTTTTGTTTCTCAACATTAGCTCTAGAGATTTGATCCTCGATACAAGATAAAACTGTATCGCACGCTTCACCCCAGGCAGCTAGGGTTTCAGCTACTACACCAGTATCACCTGGTCGAACGTCTCGTCCAAGACCGGCATAATCTACTTCTAACTGTGAATTTTTTTGGTCTAATTTCCCATGAATTATATCTGCGTATATTGCTTCGATAATCAAATCCTCTAGATCTCTGACATTCTTTATATCTAACTCTTCCAACAGTACCGAATAAGGTATACATTTGTTTTTTGTAGCAAGAGTGACAATTGTAAGATGTTGAAGTTTCTTCTTTTGCGTAGGAGTTAATTCTAATACTTTCTCCTTATTTTCCAAATAATCTTTATAGGTGCCGTACGCAAACAGATTTAGAGTATTCCAATACTGAACGTAAGGTCCATTCTCTAACTCTTTGATATTTGGCATGTCCAATAATTCACCAAAAACATGAACGCCAGGTGTTTCAACAGCTTGCCTTATAAGTTCTATGGCAGCAGCCCCTTTTGCAGTTTTCGCAAGCAATACAAATTGCTCCAAAGGATTACTAGCTGATTTTTCAGTGCTGTTTCCACCGGTCATGTTGACTTCTAAATAAATAATAAATCATGTTTTTGAAATAAAACATTCATATGTATATAAATAGCATATATGCACAAAGTTCAGCCGGAACTTAGACACATGCATTTAGAAATATATATATAAGGAACATATATATGCTCCAATATATGAAAAAAATCATATCATTGTGTGTATAAAAATAACGATAAAATTGCTAACATGACAGACTATTCCGAAAAAATATTTTCAGTAAACCGAATATTTCCTTGTATAAATGTTCGATTTTTAAAAGTTGGAAAATACAAATTCACATTCGTGTCGATTTATGTATACATACACAACAACGAAACATTGAACAGCATGCAATGTTATGAGATATAAAATCAAAACATTAAACAGAACTCACCTCTTCGTAATGAACAAAAGTCTAATTAAAACTGTCCACCACTTTCGGCGAAGGAGATTTGGATTCTGAATTATGAAAAAATGCGAAAAGAGACAAGTGCGCACCAACAACACTGATAAATGCAGGAATATTCTTCAGTGCATCAGCATCAGTGCACTCTCTCTCTCTCTCTCTTTCTTCCTCTCTATTCGGTGTCACGAATATTTCGAATCATTTGAATGACCAATCAAAATAGAGAGATTTCTTTGTTCTTATTGGTCGATCAAACGATTTTGAATTTATGCTAAATTCTCTGTACGAATTTTTTGATTGGCTGTCGTCTAGAAAATTTCTAATGCTCGGCAGATAACAGCCAATCAGATTCTTGGACAAAAAATATCACTCCATTACATTTTTGTCATTCAGTTGGTACGAGATATTTAATTTGGCAACACTGTTTTCCGCATATGAATATTGTGAAAGTGATTTGAGGTTAAAATCCCTTTAAATCCCAACACACGTATAAGTTTATCGATTAAGTGTCTTCAAGCATTTAAACAATAGGACGAGAACTATCGCGCTTATTTATCTCACAAATGTCAGAATGGTGAAGAATAAACTGACGTGGTTGAGGTTCAGTTACGTTGTGCCGCCAGTGAAGAATATCCACGAGCAAAACTGATACTGACTCGGCAAAAATGAGTAGGCTATGGAATTACTTGATATTTCAGGCATGGATGTCTTACCTGATGGCAGCCGGCTTGCTAGTCTTCACGAGCGGCTTCCTTCTGAATCGCGTCTCCAGGCCCGAGCGGGCCGAGTGCACGCAGTGCGCTGTCAACAGTATCAACAATGTCAACGATTGCGACGTGGGAAATCTCTTCCAGGTAGGGTTGCCATCCGTCCTCTTTTTTGAGGCGTTCGGGGGGATATTATGAATGTAATTATTCCAAAGTAATTATGAATGTCTGGGGCCTGGGGTTTAAAGAAATTCATATTTTGCTTTTTATATTTTATTTACCTACATCATATACAATATTCAATCAAGAATGAAAATTATTAGCCATCCATTTTCTTATTTTTATAAATAAAAACGAGATGTAAAATAATTATTTATTTATTATTATAATTAATTTGCTAATCAAGTTCTAGTTTTGAAATTTTTATTATGGTAATCCTACTTCCAGGACATGGAACACGCGGCCAAGGTGTGTCTGGAGCGCAGAGCGCGGGTCGTCCTGCTGATTGTTGACGCCCTGAAATACGAGTTTGCTGAATGGTACGAAAATACTGCTTCGATGTTCTCCTACCATCGCAACAAGCTGCCTGTGATTCATGAATTACTGCAGAAACATCCGTCACATTCTCGCCTATACAAATTCATAGCAGATCCGCCTACCACGACTATGCAACGTCTGAAGGGTCTTACAACTGGTTCCCTGCCAACTTTTATAGAGATAGGCTCGAACTTCGCTTCGGAGTACATTCAAGAAGACAATCTTATTGACCAAAACGCTGCCAGTGGTATTGTTTTTATGGGAGACGACACGTGGACCAATCTATTCCCGGATAAATTTATGAGACAGTTCCCATCGCCGTCGTTCAACGTCTGGGATCTGGACAGCGTGGACAAGGACGTACAATATCGGATTTTCTTCGAGATGAAGAAGAAAGACTGGTCGTTGCTGATAGCGCATACACTTGGAGTTGATCATTGCGGACACAAGCACGGCTCGCAGCATCCAGAGATGACGAGAAAATTGAATGACACGAATACACTTATAAAGGAGATTGTGGCGTCTCTTGAAAAAGATATGATGCTTTTTGTTGTAGGAGATCACGGCATGACTGAGACAGGTGATCACGGTGGTGACAGCTCGAATGAAGTCGAAGCTGCGATGTTTGTTTACTCGACAACTCCTTTGATTAGAGGATTTGCCACTAATAGTGATAGCGTCAACCAAATTGATCTTGTTCCTACTCTAGCAGCGATTCTTGGCACACCAATCCCTTTTTCTAATTTAGGTTCTGTAATATTAGATTGTTTGCCAAATAACGTAGGAGATGCTGCCGGTCAGTTATCGTATCTATTGCAATCTTTGTGGAGGAATATTGCCCAAACGAAAAAATACATAGAGGTATATTCCACGGATACATACTTGTTCTCAAAAGAGCAGCTTCAGCATTTAGATTATGTGTATAATCTTCTCGCGGAACGTATTAAACATATTGATAGTTCTGAAAAGTTAATGATTTTTGTTGGAGATACCAAAGGTTATTTTAAATTATTAAAAGATACATGTTCCGAAGTGTGGGTCCAATTTGATTCTGGTTTAATTTCCAAGGGTTTACTTTTAATGTTTTGTTCCTTGTTCTTCTTTTATCTCTTTATCACCGGTATCCCCGAAAATCGTATGTGTGATATATTTAAATCTTCATTTTTACAATGTGCCATTATAGCAAATTTAATTACCGCAGCAATGACTACATGTCTGTTCTTGTTGAATATTTTAGAGGAATTAAGGAATACAACTTTTTTTGCTACTGGCGCAGTTTCTATTGGTTTATTAGTTATAGTAATTGCTCAAAACTGGGATGTTATATCGATGTGTTGGTATGATCATCGTAGAATTAAGCTGTTGACTTATGTAACGAGAATAATACTTCTTTTAACAGTATGTGGACTTTTCTCAAACAGCTATATAGTTGAAGAAGACAAAGTCTTGTCCTTCCTATTTGTTACACTCGTTTGCCTGCTCATTTTTGATTTAAGAAAGAGCGATTCTGATAATACTTTTGAGAAGAAGACAAGATTTACGTCAAAGTCATCAAAACCAAATTTTAGGACAATTGTACTAGTTATTGGTTTGTTAGCATGCATCTCAGTTAGATTATCGCATTATTTCTGGCGATGTAGGGAGGAACATTTACAACGGGAATGCTCTATAGCTGCAACTGGTAAAGTTGGCTGGTCCACAATGCCAAATAATTGGGAGCGTGCTTTATTTGCTGTTTTACTTGCTTCGATCATCCTAGCATCATATGTGGTAATAGTTAGACTGTGGTTGCAGAGTTGTGGAAATCTCACAGGTTTCGCTCCTAGTGTTATGGTGGGACAGTATTGTCCGGTTATTGTAAGCGTTTGCATGGGTTGCTACTGGATTCTGCAAAAGCTCCCGAAATTTGTCAAACCAAAACTCGCACTGTCTTGGGAAATTAATACGTTGCCTAACGTAGTTTATTTCTTCTGTGTACTTGCAATTCTCGTCCTCTACTATCGTCCACTCAGCATATACCTGTTGCCAAAGAAGAAAGAATCCATCGACGTCTACCGCGACGAAAACATAGTGCCTCGGTTGTTCGAAAAGATAAAAGATTCGATTTCCCGCAAACGAATAGATGCCGATGAACTTCCAGTCATCTACGGTTTCGGAACTGCCTATAGTGCCGCATTCATCTCATTAAGTGTATTTATCACACTTCTATATGCATTATTGTTGGGAGACACTCTATCGCCTGGTACATTTTTGATGTTTGTAACATGCGCCTGTATATTGGGTTTGTCTGCGATAGAGAGATACAAAAATGCTAATAATATTTGTAAGTATACACGATATATAAAATTCACATATTACCTATGTATACTTGGATCTATCTAACTTTTATTTACAGCTGAACTCGTTGATGTATCTATGCCTGTACTATTTTGCTGGTTTTTGTTAGCTGAATATTTCTTTTACGGAACTGGCCATCAGGCGACTTTTCCTACTATTCACTGGCACGCTGCCTTCATAGGAACTGGTGGTCATTTTTATGGCAATTTAATATCAGCAATTCTAATTGGTAAGTATTATCCTTTGAAATGTATTCTTTCTTAAAATATATGTTAACTTTAATTCTAACATACATAAAATAATTTGCAGGTATCAATACATTTGGATCGCATATTATATTGGGTGCGACGTTACCATTATTAGTAGTCGTACCATTTACGTTGCACCGAGTATTTCCAAAGTTTCTTAAAGCGAAATTTCTCGATGATATAAAGAGAGGTGAACTATTACTGTTTGAACAAGACTCTGCTTTCCACGCTGCAATTTTCTCGGTTGCAGGAAAATATACGTTACTTCACGGAATCCGGGTATGTTGTATAAAAACATTTAATTAAACACATTTGTTTCTTATCTTCTCCAAAGAACAGTTTTTGCGTGTGTACATATCGTTAATTAGACACTGTTTTCCTTTTTTAGACTTTCGGTAGTATGCTCGCAGCAACAATCCACTGTCGGCATCTGATGGTTTGGAAAATATTTGCACCGAAATTAATTTTCGAGGGATTAGGATTTTTGGTAACATTGGGAAGTGTATTAGCATCATTCTACATGGTGTTTCGCATCGATCAACAAATAGAATACCTCATCACCAAAATCACGAAAAGCAGATGATAGTGACTTACTCGTAAGGGTGTGTAGTACAATCAATAGCTAAGTACCAAAGTCTCATAAAGACATTTCACTTCTGCGTTAAACTCGAAGGTGGCCCGTTACTTACGAATATAATGATTCGATATATTGCAATATGAAAGATGAAAAACATGAGTCGAAAGCAAAACATCTGTGCTTGCAATACTGCCAATATTTCCACAATTTTATATGAAGTGTAACACAAGAAAGGGTAAATATAAAGTATCAGTATGTATGTGTGTATTATATACATATATATACACATACATACGAATATTATAAATGACGTTTCTCGTACTGAAGTACAGAAACTTATCTCTCCATTTCTTCGAGATGATATTAATGTTAGATATTAACGTCCATCTCTTATAAAATGTTATGTCGCGTAACCAAATTGTGATGCTTCCTAACACACTAACGCTATCCTGCGTGCAATGCATTGCTGATTGAAGACAAACAAAGCAACGCACTTGATGCAGGATTGCGTCTGTGTGCCGCGGTCTGTCTGCGCGACTGTTGAATACATTGCCGTGTGATTGCTATTGTTAAAAAAGAGAAAGAGTACGATATATAAAGAATAGACTAAATACTATTAGAGAGGACATCCACCTTTCATATCCTTCGATACATCTACATAGAGAAAAAAAATCGTGTATCGTGTTTGATAAAAAAAACGAATTATGCAATAAATCTGACATTTAAAATTCATTCTTAGTTATATCATATCTCGATTTCTCTATCGCAGATAGTTTCAAATGACTTATAAAATATTAACTGTTTCTTTTTTACCTTCTTTTGCCAAATATATTTTATTGGAGAAATAATGTTTAATTGTACAAATATTTATTTGTATGAAACTTCAAATAATAGCATTTTTAAAGAATTTAAAATCTAATCATCTAAATATATGATAAAAGAAGTACTCCTGCTGGCTGAGAGTGGCTTAATGCTGATTATGATGGTGCCTATGATCTTGATATTCATTCTTGTGATATTGCATCCAGTCAGCCCATTTGTTCAAATTTTCATAAGCGTTAGACTCCTGCGACAGATGTCCATGATATTCATAATTCAGATATTGCACATATTAATTGTAATTAATACTTTGAAAGCCTGGAGCTTTAGGCAATTTAGGCATTTGAATCTGAAATCAAATGAGGTTTTCACATTTTATAGTTTTAAATATTATTGGATATTATTCTCTTGTGTGTGATTAGACACAAAGATCTCTTTGACGAAATATCAAGTAATAATAACTTTTTATTCCTCATTTTGAATAGAATAATTTGTATGTAGGCTTCCAAGGTATTATAGTGTGTTATATATTATAATACAAAATTATATGTGCGCATTGATTTACATTTATAATTTTGTTGAACGATTAATATTTAATATTTTATTGTTGTGATTTTTAATTTTTGTAGTTATTTTTTTATAATTCTAATAAGCACAAATAAATATATAGGTGTATACAGATTAGAGATAGATTTTAAAAAATGACAAAACATGTTAAAATTGTCCTTAGAAGATACGGAAATTTTTTTTCCTTTTCTATATTAGCGGGAAAAATTTCTGTACATTTTATAAATATCACGTAATATTTATACATTAAAGATAAAAAAAATTTTAATTTTAACTTTATTCTTAATAAATATATATCAAAATAATATTGTTTCAACATAAAATAATATATATTAATTATCATATAATAATATTAGACATAATATAAGTCATTTTGAAAAAAAATGACAAAGAATTTATTAATTTATTGTTTGATTAAAATAGCAATTATTGAATATAAATATTACAAATAATGCAAATTATTTATAGAAGTATCATTATAATTATAACTGTTATTATATAAAATTTGACAATTTTTTAAATTTCAAGCTGATTCTAATTATGAATATTACAACTTTCAATAAGAAAAATATACATATATCAAGTTTATCAATTCTTAAAATTGAGATGAGATATGCTTTTATAATACACGAATCATTTTTTCGATATAAAATGTATTTTCTAATTAGTATTATTAATATTAAAATTACATCTTATATCTCTAAAACAAATCATACACTTACCAGCAACTTAATTCCTCCTCCTTGATGCTCTGGTGTAGAACCACCCCCGGCTTGTACAGATTCTATCGAGCCCGCGGGTAGACTCTGATATCCCTGATGCATTTGCATTTTTACGCCTCTTGTATATTGTCTATGATTATGCTGATTATCATCATTTTCATATCCTAAGTATGGTAACAAATCGTTGTCTGCTTGTCGTCTTACAGCAGATGCCGAATTCTCCGGATAAGATACCCAGAAAGATGTTGGCAAAGCTCTACTCATTAAAGTATTCTCTTTGACAGAACTTGCCGGATACGAAGTCATAGTTACAGTTTCAATGGTGGATATTTTCTTCAAAATGGCATCCAAGAGAGTGTTGTTAATTGAAGCGTTGTCAGTTAATGGAGCCTTTGGCAATTCTTCCAAAATATCTGGAGGACTAGTACTAGTCGTTATCGCATCCTTGGCGACCACAGTGATATTTTTTTGCAGATCCGTCAACATATCAAATACTTGACTGAGTACAGCCATTCTCTGTTGAAAAGGAAGCGTTGGATCTACTGTTGGTTTTGCAAAAGGAAATATGCTGGAGAAGGGTTTAAAAGGCTTTTTCGACGTAGCTGCAGCAGTTGTTGCAGTTTTTTCATACGCAATCAGATCATTCAGAGTTGCTATCATGTCGCTCTTTAGATTGCCAAGCTCCGACAGTATAATATCAACGATTGCGTCCTTAGCAGCTACGATGGAAGATGCGTCGTCTAAGGATCTTGCATTCTTGTCCGGTAAAATATCATCAGGTTTCACGGATCTCATAAAATTGCTATTTGCGCTTGAACTATCATCGGTTTCTTGTGCTGTCGCATTTAACTTTATGCTGTCAAATAGTTTATCCAGAAAATCCGACACTTTTTGGGTATATTCAGTCGGACCGGGAATTACGGAAGACGGCAACCAAAAGCTGGCTGGTACTATGGTGCTCTTCGGCGTAGGTATTTCGGTTGTTGTTGCTGGAGTGCTGGTGGCAAGATTTTTGAAGAGTGTATCTAGGAAATCTGCCTTCTTCGCGGTGAGCATGCTCGGGTCCACCACCGATCCGAAAGAACCACTTGGTCCGACAGGTCCACTTGCTCCGTAAGGTCCACCTGGTCCGAAAGATCCGAATATTCCCGGCAAATATTCCTTTGGTGTACTACTAGCAGCTGATTTTGTTGATGTATTTTCTACTATCTGTGGATCTTTTGGATAAGAACTCGGAATGGAATTGATGTCGCCTGCGGAAGAAGGTGCTTCTATGCTTCTTCTTTTGCGGGAAAAAGGTGTTTGGCTCAAATAATTAGGTATTGTCTCTGACGATGAGAATGGCGTAACAGGCCCGAATTTTGGACCCATAGGACCAAACTTTGAGGCAAATGGACCGAACATACCACGTTTATATATACCGCTATTGTCGATTGCTTTCTCTTTACCTTCTTGTAATATATCTCGTTTATTAAATAATGCGTTTGCGCTATCAGTGTTATCTACAGGGAATCCACTTGCGCCATACGGTACAATCGGTTTGGCATCTGCTACATTATATGTAACTGGTCCTAAACCACCAAACAAATTACTCAGCATATCCGTCTTTGTAGAAATGAATGCTTTTGGGTCGACAAACTTCGGGAAGAACGGAGATTTCGGTGCGTAAGGCACAGATATTGTGTCCATTCCTCCTGGAGGTCCAAGGGCTCGCGAATAAACTAAAATAGTAATTGATATATATATATATATATATATATATATATATATATATGTAATAATTACATCTTTTATATAATTAAATTTTATATATTAGCAACAAAAATAAATGAATAAATTAAAACTAATTGAACAAGAAATTTCACTTTATGAAAAAGAAAATATATAATTATATATATAAGAAAAAGAAATTTCTCATCTAAAATTAAGATTAAAAATATTTTATTTCTATTTAATATTTGATATTTAAAAGATTATTTAAATTTGCATCAATTGAAAAACATCTTAAAAATAAACAATCAAATTTTTCAAAATGAATATTAGTGCAATTATCCCTAATGGTTTCATTTTTATAAAATACCAAATACAAAATAAAAAATGTGATATTACCAGGTTTGGATGCAAAGCTTGTCCATGATCCTCCGGGTGGAAGTGCCAGAATTAAACTGGCGGAGAATGCCAGTAGATAGTTAGAAAGTAAAAATGTTCTCTGTCGAAGCATATTGCATTAAGTAACGTGGTCTACGTTGCGAACGTGCTTTTATAATAATCATTGATCAGTAATCCTTGCAAAGTCTCCGGGATTATTCATATAGAAAATGCTGCGGCCCGAGCTACATATGCGACGGAGTCTCATTAAAATAATCCATCGATCTCCTCTCTCCTCATATAGAACCTACAGTTGTGTATTTTAGTTAACCGATGCAATTCCTTCTTAGAGAAATGCAATTTCCTTCTTAAAGACATAAGTATGTCTATTTTAAACAATGAAAGATAATCATACACACTTTTTTAAAAAAGAATATTATCAAATCAAATAAGAAAAAACAGAACTCATCTATATATATATATATATGCAATTTTATATTTTCAAGTCATTTAGTCACTCATTTTTTCTTGTTCACTACATATATATTAACATATTTTATTTTTAATCGTTTTACAAATGAGTTATATGTATTGCATTTGTCAGTTGTTTCCAATAATGGAAACGCAAGCTGCTTCTATTATTTCACCTTATTTTGACTCGAATTGAAGTTTTGGTAAAATATTCAAGATTGTTGTAAGATTTAAATCCTTCTTTTTAATTTAAATCCTACACATTACGAACATGGATAAGTTTCAGGGACGTGAGTAATGTATAACTTTTTAATATAATTAATCTTTATAGAAATAAAAACAAAATAATGATTGCATGCAGATCGTGGCTGTCAATTCCACTTATTAAAACTTATCATGTGCATTTACATTACTTATTCACATGGTGTTATAGCTATAAATATAAAAATAATTTAATAAATACATATAATTATTATATTATATATTAATATATATATGTACACATTATGTTTTTTTTTAATTAAATGCAAAATAATAAAATTTTCGATATAATATAGGATTAAATTTTTAAATTTTAATACAATAAAAAAAATTAAAATCATTTTATTTTTGTAAATTGCAGAGAGCACGAACAGTACTGATAACATTACATCAACAGCAATAGATGATGTTTCATCATTATATTCAGCTTTAAAGTATGATTATGAGGGAAGCAATATCGCAAATATAATAACGCAATTACAACACATATATCAGCCGAAAGATGGTATTATTGCATATGAATGTGTGTTGAAAAAAGTTCAAGATTTACTAGAAGACTGTAATTCCAGAAAAAAACAGTTATTGCTCTCGATAATACCTGTTCCAGATCATGTTCCAGATCACACGATCAAGGAAGTTTTTCATACAATTACAGGTTTTATGAAACTTAATCTACAGGAAAAGTAAGCCTTCTCTTTGAACTTTATTCTTATATTATTATCATATACAGATTCATATCTCTCATGTCATTGTATCAACAGCAATAATACGTTTCAAAATGTAAAAAATATGGATGGAATAATGGACAATAATATTTCATCGTCAAAGCAAAGTTCTTTATCTAAGAATGCGTCGAATTTTAAGTCATCACTCTCCGAAGCATTCCCTTTTCGAGGTTTCCCTGAGAACGAAATTTCTACGATTCACAGTCATGTAAAAAACGTAAACTACTTGTACAAAACCATAGAATGCGATTTTCCTCGTTCAGAAATTCTAGTTGATGTCAGTCCAAATTCTGCATCATATATTAATCGACAGGCTGATTCGTTGAGATATCAATTAAATAATGATCCGAAGAATTGGTCGAACAGAAATAATAATCATCAAATGCCAATTTATCAACAATATCTGTTTAATAAGAAATATTATATACCTACTAAAATTGGCACAATTAATGAATCAAATCTTTGGTATTCATCATCTCAGATATATCAGGTTTGTAATTTTAAAAAAATGTATAAAGTAATAAGTAAACCAAATTATAAAGATTTCTAATTAATTATAGGACACATGCGCTATAAAAATGCCTAACGATAGTGAGATAATAGCGGATTTGTGGCAAAATAATAAAAATCCCCAACAATTTAATAATCTTAAATACGAATGTAAAAAAAGTGAAGATAATAATGAATTCGATAAAGATAAAAATTTAACGTTTCACAAACGATAATCGATATTGATCAAAATGCAACAATTAAACAGACAGTTGATGATAATATATATAAAATGGATACGTGTTTGGACGAAGATCAGAACATTATCGTAGATGTACGAAAGATAAAATTCGAAATCTTAATTTATATTAGCTTATTTTCAAAAATTATTAAATTAGTTAAATTTTACAGGCAGACGATTTTTTAGCACCAGTGCGCGATAAACTTAAAACAAGCTTAAAAAATTTTTTAAAACGAGCGCAAGAAGGAACTTCCATTGGTAATATATTTTATTTTATTCATTTTTATCATATATCTATTATAATCATAAATAACGTATAAAATTATGAAAAAAAATAATTTTTCGTATACATACATGTATAGAATTGGCGGCTTTTCCACGCACCAGATCATATCCACAATCAATAATAAGCTCCTTAAACTTGGTATGTTCTACCACGAAAGACCAGAAACCTGAAACGTCACGCAAAGTTTCAGAAAAAAAATTTACATCCAGTGTTTTGCAAAATAATAATAGCATAAATAAAAAGAATCTGATGAAAAGGCGAAACCAAAAATGTTTACGTCCGTAAGTGAATTGCAAACGAAAAGCAATTCTCAAGAACTGAATAAAGCAACTGAATTTCCATTACCACAAAATAATTTAGATTACATTATGAAAAAGAAAATAGTTACACGTAAATGCGAAGAAAATAATCGAGAAAAATCAATACACGGGTAAATATGTAATTATTATTTTAATTAGTTTAATCGCGCGACAATATAATTAATAAGAAAACAATTTTTAATTCAGATGCAAAGTAGTGGAATCAAGATCGAACGCTGTAAATCCAGAGACCAATTTTCAAGTTAATTCAATGTCCCAATTAGCTGCGTACAAAAAACATTATTACGAAACTTTATTGAGTGTTCAGAGAGCTAAAGGTTCATTAAAATGATATTTTAATTTTATATTACATATATATTTTGTTAAGCAAGCCTTCAGATATGACTCACTGATACCTCGCACGTGTAAAATATAAATTATTATAATTGGTGAGGTATGTGTGTGATAACATTAAATGCGCTGATTATTTCACTTTTTTCTCACAGTCGCAGTCACGAATTCTTTAGCGTCTTCCTCGGATCATTTAACGAGTTACGATGATCCGTATTACTCGAATTACATAGATCAGCAGCAACATCTGTTTCATCAACAGCGTCATTTCATGAGACCGCAGTTTTTAACGTATCCAGCCGAGCTATCCGGATTATCAAACGTGCATGGTAATCAATACAGTTGGGCGAAATCAGTCTATAAATATTTATTATTGAAACAATTAAGGCTTCAACGACAGGTAAGAAGATGTAAAGACGTAAGTAAGATTATTTTAGAATACGTTTACTCACCGTTTATATATATATATATATATATATATATATATATATATATATATATGATTACAGACTTCGCCCCTGTATACCCGAAATCAAGAGTAAGTCATTTAATTACATATATATATATATATATATATATATATATATATATATATATATATATATATGCTCAATAACTGAAATATATTTTAAATATCATTTTTTTTATGTGCAAGATTAAAACCGTATTTACGTAATAGTGATATTTTATGTTTCTTCATTCTTCAAGCGGTTGGATTCATCGCTATATCAGACCTGTGTATCCTTATTCTTTTACGTCAAACGAAAGTACTCAAACGAAGCATTTCGTACGCCGTAAGAGTTTGGAAGACATAGTCGGAAAATTGAAGGAGATTGAACGCAACAATTAAACGATTATTTTCCTACATTGAAGCGAGAAACTCTGTTGAACGATACTTATAAAGTTGCACGCACGAATGGTATAATTTTATAATTTCTGTTCATTCCTATGAAAGATGTATATAGCATCTTCAGATATCAAGATAAAGGACTAGTTGATACAATGGTAACAGTAAGAATGTTAAAAAATTCACATAATCATAGATTGATAAAATATTAAGATTAATATAAGTACATGTATAAGCTCGACATAGATTTATCGCTCTCGTAAATGTTCATATTTTACTTTATATTTGCTTTGCTTCTGTATTGAAAATAATTATGTGTTATTATGTATTGATTATAAAAAGATCGTGTATAACGATTTATATGTACACATCTCTCGTTGGACATTTTGATTCCTTGTAAGACGTGAATCTTATAAAGTTCAATGGATATCGCGCAACAATTTTGATGAATTTTGTTTGTATTTTGGACGATTGCGTGATATAATAATTCTTCAATAGTATACGCAGAATATAATGTTATATTTTTATAGCTGTCACCAATTGAACCGTATTTAACGTACTTATTAATAAATGTACATTATATTCGGTTTGAGTAACATTACACAAGGTTCACTCTAATGACTAGATGATTTGTGATATATTCTTAAATAACATACACAGTCACACACACAACTCCACACAATCCATAGTATATAATACTCGTCTTCGAGTTACTCCTAGATGTACAAAATGACGTTTAAAAGAATATGTGACAATGCTAACTTAGATGTTACGTGACTCATCGATCATTTATTGTCCAGATCATTCGGTATCAGCACGACAAAATCACCAAGATAATATTTTGCATCATTCTTGGTAATCTGTCAAGCCGTATTCATTCGTAATTCATTCTCAGACCTCTGCTTAAGACAATTCACGATTCTACAATTAATGTGTCGCTACAATTTGATGTTTACTCTAAATATTGGCAGCATCACATTATGCACTCTCACATGTAAATTAAATATAGAAATACAATGACACTATCAGTACTCACGCGAATATATATATGTACTTATATAAATATTTTAGAACACATTGGAAATATTTAAATAAGACGAACATTCTTACTCGAAACACACAACGCGTTATGTCTATTATTTGATGTGAGAATTTAGGCCAATTAAATTATTATGCTAGGAGAATTAAAGCGAAAATTGCTAGAAATTTATTCTGAAGTTAAATTCCTAATATTTGAAATCGTGAAGGAATACACTTTTCAAATAATTAAGATTTTATACAATGATTTTTTGTCGATTCCTTTTAGCTCGCCTGATTTTTGGAGGATATCAGGTCATGTACAGACTTGGATTGTCATACTATCACTATAGGTCATTATATCGATCGAGCCTAGTATATAAAAAGAATCTGCGCTTATTAATCATAATTGAAATTTATTGCCTGAATGATAATTTATTCGTACAAATTCTAAGAAAACAGTGCTTCGTGTATCACAAACATGCTGCTATTTATTATTTTGCTTCGTTGAAGCAAATAATTGTCGCAAATATTATTGAAGTCAAACGACAGTTTGATCTTTATTATTAGCAATAATAATGACTTTAATCCAGATAGCTAATCCTTTTATTGATGCTATACTTGATAACAAATCATATTTTCATGATTATTCTTGAAGAATTTAAAATTTTATAAATAACAATACAAAATGCAAAATAAAATAATTCTATGATCGAAAGATCGTAAGGATTGAAAATTTAATAGCTTTAGTAATCAAGTTGTTAATGTGATTATGAAATATTAATTAAAAATAGCTTTGTGTGTCAAAAAGCATGAAAATCTTATAAAATATAATTTATTCTTATCGAGTGTGTTATAACACTTTACATTAAATATACATTTATATTATATTAAAAAATTATAATTATCTCGAATTAAATAATTGTGCATGTTTGTGTTATAACTTAATATAATTTGTTGCTAATTCACTTGAATTTATTTAGTACTTATAGCATATGAATACTAACATACGAATGATAAATGAAAATGTTACATAATACGAAATTTGAGAATAAGTAATGAAAAGGATTTCTTTGATATAAAAAATGTTTATGCTAGAGTTTCTGTGTGTAGAGACCTTAAACTGCTATGAGACAAATTCAAATTCGAATATAACGAATCATGAATATTAATTATTAATTACAAAATCTTGGATATAAAGCCATTGAGAGAAAGAATGGATTCAAATTGATATATACTACGTTCAAAGAGCGTTATATTTTTCTCTGGCAGTGTCTGTACATTTCTTTTAACTCAAAGCTAATTGCCTTATAATGTCAAGTGACATTTTATTTTATTCTAAAGTGACATTATTAAGTTTGAGATATATTCACACTTTCAAACGTATCCCAGCATATCGATAATGGGCCACAGAAAAAGTTACATATTATTTCTTATTGCCCAACAAAAGACGAGTTATGACACTCCCGATATTTGCCACAACGAAGCTGCTGTATTACATGCTATTACATGTATCATACATGTAATACATTATTACATGTATTATTACATGCTATCTTTTTATGAATCTATATGAACACGCATTTCTCTTACACTATTAATTGATTTAAGGTCGACGCATCAAAATTTAATGTGATCTGTGTGCCTGCTTGCTACGTTTGTGTTTACATTCGTATCAAAAGACAAAATAGCTGTCTTAGTAGTGGCTCTAATAAAGATTAACTAATGTTTGTGTTTATTCAATTGTATGATCGATCGTGATAAATCGAATAAAAGAGAAAGAGAAACGAGGTATCAGAGAGAAATTCGCTTTGAGAATTGTTACATATTAAAAGAGATTCAATAGCAATCAGGAAACAAGCGCTCAATAGTTCTTCTTAGGATGAATTGTACTTCTAATACGATATGTATGTACTAAAAAATACCTTGATCTTTAAATTGATGGATTATTAAGAAGATATAGTTGTACAAAAAAATGACTAGAGTTGACTCTAGAGTTTCTTAGTAAAGCGAAAAATTAACACAATACATAATACTGCTCGTCTAGTAACTTTAAAGCTATGTAAAATGTCTAGAAATAGTGCGTATGTTTCTGTATAGGAACAGGGACGGACCATTCGTTTTTAAAATTTGATTAAATATAGCGAAATCTATGTTTTTGCATTATGTGAAAAAAGATAAATATTACGATTATGTGTTTTATATATATTCAATTAGTTAAAATTTAATAAAGAATATAATCAAGTTAATCAACTATATAATCGATATTATTTCTTAATTTATATTATTTAATTTGAGAATATTATACAGAATTATTTATTTCGGATAAAAAGCAATTAAACAATCATTTCTTTAAGTCCGTCCTTGTGTAGGAAAAATACTGTAATATAATGAACACACTTTAGAGTTTACAAACCAAATACAACAAATAATCATTCCACGCATACTATTCCGTTCATATAGAGAAATAACAGATTTGCCAAACCGATCTTCTAGTGCAAATAATATTGTGTGATGGAGTTCAAAATATTATGTATTATTTTCATGTATTATATAATTCTTCTAATGTTTTATAATTTTACCAACTATTTTTTTTTACAATTTTATATTTTTACTTATAAAAACAATTTTTATGTAGTTTTAAATCAATATTTAATTATATAAGCAATTTCACTTCCTCAAATAATATTAAGCAAATTAATTTAAAAAATCTCTTATTTATAATATTTAAGAATTTATAATTACGCATAAAAATTAAAAAATAGACAAATTACAGTTAATTGCAATTGCAACTTACACTTTTGTATGAGATCAATAGAAAGATCGGTCTAGCTGCATTTTACTATATATATGTACATATATGTATATATATATATATATATATATATATATATATATATATATATATGTATGTATGTATGTATATAATTCTTTTAAGGCTCAATATATACATTTTCATTTCTCAAGCAATATACGATTTCTGTCCATCAAACATTTTTTCAAGTATGCATGGAACTTAAAATATCTTGGCATCGAAATACGATAAAAATTATTATTTAAATATATATATATTATATATATATCGGTGTTACGTGCTATATAGTGGTCTTATACTTAAAATCCTGTTAAAACTTACTTATATTTATTATTTGGTACATGATTGGAATGAAGTGGCATTATTTGCTTATCAAAGTTGGGCAGTCTAGTTTTGTGATGCAAAACGTCGAGACCCGAACAACTAAAGAAAATTTATCCTCTTGGCAGCAAAATGTACAAGGCAGCAATGACTTTATACAGGATCTTAAATCTTTGGACACGATTTCGTCCTGTAAAATTCGATAACAACAAACTTGATAAGCCCTGTAAGTACGGGCTATGGTCTTTTTCACCTGTTGCATGTATGAAGTGTAACAATTATATATATATGTATGTATATCTTATGTTTACATTTTTTTAATCACATCCGGTTTTATGCACAGTTGAAAACACAGATGGAACATGTAAAACCAAAGTACTGTGTTCTTCAGTCTCACTGTGCATTATTATTTAATGTAGAAAATACAAAATGTGTTGAAGTCAGGCAAGTTTGTATGCAAATAAGAGAGAGGTATGAGATTTCAATTATGTAACAAGTAACACTTCAACTACTGTTGCAGTCTAATAAAAAAATATATATTCAACATAAAGTATATCATGTACTTGCTTGCTTTATAAAAAATTTCGTCACAAACTGTTCACAAAAACTGCTCGATTGAGCAAGTTATTTTTTACCTAAAGTGTATGTGCTTTGTATTTCACAAGACGATCAGGCAAAGCTATAAGGATCGATAGTTTTGCTAGAGCAAGGTTGAACATCATCTGGTGGTGGGCGCCACTGTCCAGACCACATGGCGTTACGAACAATCACATTCGCATCAGTAGCTTCTTCTTTACTGTTGCTAGATGTACATTCCGTTTCCCAGTTGGGGAGGCCGTTCCGAGTCACTTGATTGATCGGTCTAGTCTCAATCATGTCACAACAATTCTGTGCGTCATTGTTCACTGGCGTTTGCTTAGTTTTACTTCTAATTTGCGTAGTGCCACTATTTCTACGTTCGGCGTCGGACCATGAGCGAGATTGCTCCACTGCAGACTGTAGAGGTAACTTTCGCGGCACTCGTCTAGTCTTAGCCTCCTCCGCGGTGACGCTGCTAGCGTCGGCCTTACTGCTACCTGGTGCGTTTCCATCACCGGTCGAACTGCTATCACCTTCTTTCCTTCGTCTTCTCCGTCTCCTCTCGATCTCGGTATCCTCCCGTTGAGTATCCTCGTTAATCGTATGTGTTGTTTCTAGAATATGTTGCTTGGCCGAAGCCCAATGGTCCTTCTTGTTGGCGCCTTGTTTAAGTCTTTCATGATTACCGCGGTGGCCGCCGTTACTCGTATTCGTGTCACTGTCCGTGTTCCGTTTTTTCGATTGTTGATTTTTCACGGTCCACGAGGCGGGTCTCTTAGGACTACGTTCCTTCAAAGTGACCTGCATTTTAGGCTACGTTTATACTGTGATTGATAAACGACATTGCGCCATAAAATAGATTATACATTTACCCCGGAGGAGGAAGAATTATCAACAGGTTTATAGAGTTGTGTTGGTGTATGACTACGAGAGTCCTGACCCTTACAACCTGATCCATTCCGACAATGTATCCATGAAAGTAAAAATGCTAAGAGAGCGCATGAAAGTCCCACCACTGCTGCGGCAGTCAGTTGGGAACGTGTGCGTCTTGGTACCCAGCCTCCACTGTGGTATTCCCATACTGTACATGCTAATAACGCGCTACTCGCGGCAAATAACAAGCCTATGCCAGTGAATACTATAGCATTCTATAAAAATAATAGATTCATAATGTGTGTAACAGTATTAACATTCTGCAATTGTTAATATTTCAATATAATTATATTAAATAAAATTATATTTTTAAATTGTGTGTATATATAGATATATTAATCAAATATTACTTACCAGTTTAGCCCAATTTAAAGGAAGGATGTAAATAACATGCGAAATATCAAGGAAGAGAAGGGCTGCGGTGACCAAGAAACAGAAAACAGCTACAAAGATCATGAATCGTAAACGATCTGCTAAAGGCAGCATAAAAAGGCTGACCTTGGCAGTGCCAGAACTGCATAAAGTTGCCAAACAAGCTGCAGAGGATATCTACAAAATATCATTGATATCCGTATGTGTAAAACAATTTTTCTAGTTTAATCACAATACTTTTCTAGTTTGTCATTTCATATACAGAATAGTTATTTAATATTGTTTGAAAATAACTTGAAAAATATGCATCACAAGAAAATTTCTCAAAGGTTTGGTTTAAAAGAAAAATTGACTTTGTGAATAGTTTTAAAATTATTTAAAAATTAACTACTATTTTTAAAATAAAAGTTACTATTTTTTATTATATTTTTATATTTAAATAAAAATTAAAATATTTAGTTAATAAAAATTAAAACTTGTTTTCTCTTGATACTTGTTTCCCAGTTTGCATTACAAAATGCAGTAAGCAAAGTAAATGTCAACATAAACATTTTTTTAAATTAAAATGTATCAAATAGATTTCTATTAAAAAAATTAGAGTTAACAATGCTGTTCAAGGTAAAAAAAAATCATATTTTTTTATTCTCTCAAAACCAAACTACTTTTGTTTAGAAATTTTTATTTGATGTACATTTTTTGAGTTTTTAAACGATATATTAAATGACTTATCCTGTATATAAATAATTTTTGTACTTACAAGTAATAAGAGTCTAACAACACCCGTAGCTGTTTTAAGATGTCCCTGTATGTCACAGTAAATAACCACATGGCTTGCACGTGACCAAGCCAGAGCATTAGATGAAGAGCCCGGCCTGTGGTCACTACCATAGTGACCATGATAATTAGCATGTGAATCCCACGAGTGGACTGTCGAATGAACCCCTGGCGAATCCAGCTCCGATGATTGGGAGCTGATTCGCCCCCCTGTCCTGCTGCCTGCTATTGATACAATATCGAAACTATTGTACAGAGTCATATATATGCAATTACATAAGTATAACTTTAAACAAGGTAGATAATGCAGGCAGTTAGTCAGGCAGGGTTTTAACATCTACATGCTACTTGTCATAGAGCAATTATATTTAATCAGCATCGATTTGAAGAAACTTGGTAAACGTGCACAAATTTTCAAATAATATATGCACATTAATTGAAATTAAAATTAATTGCGCATACCAATTTCGAAGTCCTGAATGTCCTCGGGTTTAGAATATATGGCAGGTGGAGGTTCTAAGTCGCGTATTTCTTCTAAGAGAAGCACTTCTATTTCCTCGGCTGCGTATAAATCGGAGACCGAGCGAATAGGATAATGCCGAGTCTCGCTCATTACTCAAGTGCGCTCGCTCATTTACTCCTTCCTGCCTGCTGTCGTACTTTTCTATTTGACCTGTCAGCGACCAGCATGCATTATCTAATCGATTCGATGACAGGTCCATCTGCTTACCAGCCATTGCTCATTCATATTGTGTGTCATTTCTATCCTTGCAGGCAACAATACTCCTCCGCCTTCAGGCCACACCTGTCAGAAAAATAAATAAATTATATACTAACATTGAAAAGCAGATTCAAATTTATATAATAAACATAACAGATTTTATAGCTATAATCATTAAATACAAATCTGTTTTTTTTTTATTAATTAAATTTTACTGTATTAAAATGTAATTTTATATAAATTAATGAAAATATTATTTTCATAAATCTCCCATTATGAAAAACTATTATATTCTTTATTATTAGACATATTGAATGTGAACATGTATGCTGAAATCTTGTAAACAAATGTATTGCATAGCGATAAACACATGACATTTATTTAACACAAACAAAGCTGTCTCATGTCATGTCGATACGTTCGGCATCGCGAGATTAAAGCACATGCGGGCTCCAAATTGATAATTTATTTGATCGTATGAATGACATTTTGTTCGAACGCGTATAAGTCTGTAAGACTATCAATTAACGGGAAAAATATTTCAAGTTTTTTTAATGATAAGTCGTGTTTTTTTCTCTCGATTGAATCGTTCTCTCGCTCCAGATCCACATGTGGTTGTCAGAAACCGTCCTAGCGGTATCTTAAAATGAGATATCGCCACATCGAGAAAATTCCGTGCCGTTCCCGAGATATTCGCGAATACCTACCTCGAATTTACGCTCGTCGATCGCGACGTGTAGATCACATTTTCCGAGATTTTTCACGGTGAGCTCATTGACCGTCCAATGGATAGCCGCCATTGCCTTTTTGCTGTTTTTGCCCGTGATCTGCGTCCATCACAACGACCTAGGGTGCTCTCCGACTCACGCATGACGCGCATGAAGTGACAGAAAATCTATAGTTCGCGTTGCGCACATTATACATTTTCTGTCGCTTCATGCGTATCAGAAAGCACCCCTAGAATGGGGTAACTCGTCTCTCTTTTTCTCTCTTTTTAGTCATCGGAATTATTTCGTCGAGTAATTTTGACATATCAATTTCGCGTTTTGACATATCAGTCTCGCGTTTTTATTTCATAGATATATCAAATAATATAAAATATATAAAATATAATATAATATATAATATATTAATTATATATTATAATTAATAATATAATATATAATTAATATATAATATAATACATATAATATTATATTGCGATACATATCTATGATTTATTCGGAAGGAGAGAGAAATTCGAAGAAAGGCGCGGAAGAAAGGCGAAAGGTTTTGCGCGCGTCCGCAATGATATTCGCCGACGCGGTGACGTCACCGCACGAAGAGAAGGCGACCAATAGGAGGCTCCCATCGCCAGCGCGCCACAATGAATGTAAACGCGACCTGCGGCTGAGTTACGCTCGTGTGCGCGACTGGGCGGCCTCGAGGTCTTTTTGTGCTTCCCATTTTGTCTCGTGGTGCGGCACGTCCACCACCGTGGTCCACTGACGTTTCCGCTGTGTGCCATATCGCATGGCCGACGTGTGCATACGGAGGCTCGCGTGGTACTCGCCGTGTCACGAGCTGCGTCGCCGTTGAAGGAGAGGCCCACCATCGTCCCGCCCGCACCATCGTCCGCATCGGCGCACCTATATTCGCACTCTCGTGTAACGATCTCCTCCCCTTGAAAAGTGAGTGAGAGAAAACGGAAAGGAAGGCAAACGGGCCGCGTGCGAAGGTGGCCGTGCTTAAACGCTTTAATGCCCGCGCGCGCGAGACATTAATGGGCGGAGAGAGAGAAAGAGAGAGAGAATGAACGGACGGCCGCCCCTGCGTTGAATCACACCACGTTTCGCCGTGGTTGATATAATCCGGTGCGAACTGGATCGGTGCGGTATCTCCTAGCTATCGATAATCTTCCGTTCTTCGTGTGATTTTCGTAGAGAGAAAGAGAGAGAGAGAGAGAGAGACACACATCGCCGTCACACACGGTATTTCCGGCTTTGTCGACGCGCGGGCCACATTGCCTGCTCGTCATCGACGTCGTCGTCGTCGTCGTCGTCCATTCACCGGACGAGCTAAAACAGCGATAAATCTCCTCAGCATCGGAGCACCTGGTAACGCCGCGACCACGCGTCCCCACGCACGCCAACAGCGATGTCGAACGAGGAGACCTCCGCCGATCGCAATGTCGAGATCTGGAAGATCAAAAAACTCATAAAGAGTCTCGAGATGGCCAGGGGGTAAGTAGGTCGGCGCAACAACGTTGGCGCGCCTCGCGCTGTCAGCTGTTACCGCCGAGCGGGCCCATCCTGACATATGGCTTCGCGGAGCATGTGCTCCTTTCATTTCGAGATCGTACTTTTATCGCGATCGATAGGCGTTGGCCTGTATATCGATATTAGATTTGTTCACAATTTTTTTTTATGTCATGGAAAAAAGTATACAAGTGTGATTAGGGTCAATGGGGGGCTTACGTAAGCAGATTTCTCCATAACAATCTTTTTCTGGTATTCAGCAGTGCTTTTAAATAATGTATAAAAGATATTATATATTCATGTGTCTTTACAGGAATGGTACGAGTATGATTTCATTAATCATACCTCCAAAGGACCAAATATCGAGAGTAAGCAAGATGCTGGCAGATGAATTTGGCACAGCGTCGAATATTAAGTCACGTGTAAATAGATTATCCGTTTTGGGTGCAATCACATCGGTACAGCATAGGCTAAAGCTATATACTAAAGGTAATTATACTTTTTATTTATATTACAATTTTTTGAATAGTTAAAACTTTTATTTACTAATACAACAGAGTATACACAGAATTTAATTTTATATATACACAATTGCAATATATTTAAATATTTTCAAATGTTCAGAAATACATTACATTTAATTCGTTTACTAATGTATCCAGATTATAATCCATTAATCAATTTATATAATTATAGATATTAATATATTTTTTAGTGCCTCCAAATGGCCTGGTAATTTATTGTGGAACTATCGTAACAGAAGAAGGGAAAGAAAAGAAAGTTAACATCGATTTTGAACCTTTCAAGCCTATTAATACTTCTTTATATCTTTGTGATAATAAGGTATGTTGTATATAATAATATTCTTATATTTATGTGCATATGTATTCTGCTATATTTATGTATGATGTTTATGTAAACTATGTTGCATTTTGCAGTTTCATACAGAAGCGCTCACGGCATTGCTTGCTGACGATAATAAATTTGGTTTTATTGTTATGGATGGTAATGGAGCATTGTTTGGCACGTTACAAGGCAATACGCGTGAGGTATTACATAAATTTACAGTGGACCTTCCGAAAAAACATGGTATGTGTGTATAATATATTCAACATTGAGCAAGAGAATATTAAAATTATTTGTTCTCATAATTTATTTTTTTAAAATCATTACAAGATAGAATCATTAGAAAATATGTGACAGGTGTTGTAAAAATTATTAATTTTAGGCAGAGGTGGTCAGTCTGCGCTGCGTTTTGCCCGATTACGTATGGAAAAGCGACATAATTATGTTCGAAAAGTAGCTGAAGTCGCTACTCAACTGTACATCACTAACGATAAACCTAATATCGCTGGATTGATTCTCGCGGGTAGTGCCGATTTCAAGACCGAACTTAGTCAATCTGATATGTTTGATCCGGTAAGTAATTTTTTTTATTATTTTAAATTATTTTATTATATATATATTTTTTTTTTGTTTATATATGTAGCAAGATAAAAGTAGGAATTGATTTTTTAAATGGTAACACGTGATTTTTTCAGAGATTGCAAGCTAAAGTTATAAAACTGGTAGATGTGTCGTATGGTGGTGAAAATGGTTTTAACCAGGCCATTGAATTAGCAGCCGAATCTTTGCAAAATGTGAAATTTATCCAAGAGAAAAAACTAATTGGTAAACATATTTATATATCTATATTATCAATATTATTTATCAATATAGGGAGCCTTACTTTAGTACTTTATATAAAAAATATTATTATATCTATACTAATATATAATAATGATATAATATATATATATATTTTTTTTTTCTTTTTAATCATCTTTAATCATTATTAATTTCTTTCTTTAATTAGGTCGTTACTTTGATGAAATTTCTCAAGAAACTGGCAAGTACTGTTTTGGTGTAGAAGACACGTTGAGAGCCTTAGAATTAGGTAGTGTCGAAACTCTAATATGTTGGGAGAATTTAGATATTCAACGATATGTTTTGAAAAATCATACAAACGCGGAAGAAAAAGTATTGCATCTAACGCCAGAACAAGAGAAGGATAAGACGCACTTCACAGATAAGGAGGTGAATATCCAAATATTGCTAAAATAGGAATATTTTTTGATTATTTTTTACTCTTTTTTAAAATAAAGTATTTATATTTTTTTTTGCTTCTATTTTTATAGAGCGGGGTAGAATTGGAACTTGTAGAATGTCAACCATTGCTTGAATGGCTTGCAAACAATTACAAGAGTTTTGGTGCTACCTTGGAAATTATCACAGACAAATCGCAAGAAGGATCCCAATTTGTCAGAGGTTTTGGTGGAATTGGAGGTAAGTCTCTTTTATATATATACTTATTATCATTATTTGGAATTTCATGAGACAGATACCTACATATACTTCCCTTATGTAAAAAATATACATATATACATTAAGCGGTTTCCAAAAATTGCGTGAGGTAAAAAACGATTAAGGAAAATAAAAAGAATGGTAAAGAAAACTATTAAAAACATATTTAATACTTATATATTCTTTCGAAACGTTCGAAATAATATCTTGTAAATGTTAGGCTTTCTCTTGTGCAATTTGCGCATTTGACTTACTGTGGAACTTCATAAATTGACAAGTTATGGTGCAGTTGTGTTGTTTGGGCACAATATCCTCAAAAGTCGTTAAAAATTAACATTACGTCGTTAGACACGAGCAAAGTTTATGTTTGCATGGAAAGTAAGTTTCATCAAACTGATATTAATTGTGGAGTATATATGTTGGTGCATAGGAATCCTCCGCTACAAAGTTGATTTCCAGTCACTGCAGGCTGATGAGCCTCTTGATGATGTTGACCTCGATGATTACTAATTTCATCCGTGAATTACTCAGAATCGACCAGGTAGCTCTTTCTCTGTCTTGCGTGCGTTCATTTACATCTCGTGTATCATAGAACATGTTATTTGCAAAGTTGGACAAATTTATCACATTTGTTCATCTATTATCAATTTATTTATCTCCTGCATTATAAGTATTTGATGATATAAATGTAAATGTGATTTAATGAAATTCAAGTAAATGGAGTATCTACTGGTATAGATCTCCAGATGCATATAATTAGTCAAATGTCTAAGACATTACTTCTACTTATATATTAATTTAGCTTTATGGCTAAAAAAATGCTTATTCTTATTCTCTCTTTCATAACGTATATATCGCTTCTCATTAATAACGTACTATTTACACAAAAAAATTTAGATTTTTATAATTAAAATTTAGCTTCTTATAATTTATTATATAAGTTTAGATATTATATAAGTTTAAGATCTATATGACAAATTACATACATTGTTTGATGACATGGAAAAATAATATTTACATTTATTACATATATATATATCTGTGTGTGAGATGTAGTCTGCTTTTTGTGATTAATTTAAATATAAAGATAAATTTGTCCAAGAAAAATTCAGTTTCTTCCATTGGGTTTCTCACTAAATAGTTTGGTTCTTTTTTGTGCAGATCTGTAGTATATATATGCATATATGTCTCTTTCCAAATAATTTTGGATGTGATGATAGATGTTTTTAGTTCATGTTTATCAAGGGTATAATGTTTATTATTTTCACGAATAAAAAAGAAGCCTGAAAACACATTGTTGTTTTTTCTTTCTTTCTTGGTAGTAAATGCAAATAAAGAAAATCTTATGTGTGTGTATGTATATGTGTGTGTGTACATATACATATACACACACAGATATACATATATATTTACGAATAACTCTATGTTTATATACGGGGTGAGTTGAAACCTTCCAGTTCCTCTATCCTATTTTTTATGCTGTATCATTAGATCTGTACATTGTTAGTTTTATAATTGAAGAAGTAAACGTAATACAGTGGTTGATTCAATGGAAAAATAATATCTGCCTGTTACCAAATATATAGTGGCATTCTTTCATATTCGTTTAACACATCTCATATTTGAGCAACAAAAAATATACGGTAACATCGTATTCATCCGAAAATTCGTTGCGAACGAAAGGTCGTACACAGGAATGTTATAAATAAACTGGTTAATAACGCTTCTAAATGTCAATGTGAGCTTCTTTAGCCAATGATTGACACAAGTTTCATTATCATTACTAAAAATATAACTACCCATTGTATATTGTCCTATCGTAAAAATATCGATATTTATCTCACTGACCAAGATGACTTTTTGAATATACAGCATCTTATATATTTGTACACTAACTAATAATTCTTGATTCATATATCACTCACTAAGTATATGAGTTACATAAGAGTTTCGCTGAATGGAAACACATGCAGTGTGCGTATATATATCTGATTTTCAACTACCAAATCATTATATTTTCTTTTACTATATAATTATATATATATATATATATATATATATATATATATAATAGTATATGTTAAATATTTTGGTTTGCACGATATTTTTTATATTTATTATCTATTCCTTCACACAAGTAAGATTCTGTATTGTGCATTTGATATGATTCTGATATTTACTTAATTATATTTTTTCTGCCATTTTTCTATACAGTATTTAAACATTTTGCCAGAATTTACCTTTATAATTACGCTATAGACGTATATCTGTTGTACAGACTGGACTATACATTAATAGTTGTGACATTAGATGACATTATTAAGCGCATGTATATCCCTTTAATATATGTATTATAGTTTGTACTTCAGTCTCTATGTACTATTTCAAGTACGAATTTAATAATTCGAAATCAATTTTAGTGTGTTTAATATATGTCACTTGAACACAGTTATTTCATTTACTCTAATAATACAGAGAGACAATGTAATTTATAAATGAAAATAATATATTTTCTTTTTTAACAGGAAAAGATTATTACATTAATTATCTCAATTTTCTATTTAGAAATCTTGTTCAATTTGGTATTGCCATTTTCATAAACAAAATATAAAATTTTATTGTTATATAAATTGAAGTAAGATAGTGATATCGATAACAATTAGATTAGTACTTATAGTTTTATATAAAAGATTTATTACATGTGCTATATTTAAAATTTTATGTTATAATTAGATATATTTTTATACAGATGTACGCTTTTATCCATGCTTATATACAATGTAAAATTGAAAATTGTAATTTAATGTATAATCAATTCAATACACATTTTCAATGATTATACCTGCATGTTAAATAATAAGAGCTGTAAAAACGGCTAAGTTTGTTATCATAGATAATATATTCTATAATTAAAAAAAATATATCAAAAATTAAATGCAAATATGAAAGTTTCCATGTATACAGGATAACTGTTATCTCTGATAATAAACATTAATATGTATTTATATATGATGTCTATAAATATTTATATGGCTCTTTTATATATAGCACTTGCTTAAAATAGTTTAAATGTTTTAGAAACAATTTAAAAATATTTAATATTTTCAAATACTAATCGGCATTTTATTTTTATTAGCTTGCATATTGGGAAAGGTACAACATCTGTTTTTTATAAATTATATATAAGATATAAAGATTATAAATCCGTATTAACGATATACAATCAGTTAAGTGATGTTTCCTTTTATATATATTTATCGATATTTCGTTAATTTTTGCCAATATTTTTATATTTATAATTATTTTATAGTACATGCATACACATTTCTCTTACACACACACACACACACACACACATATGCATAGTTTTTGTATTTTATTAATATTTATTTAAATATTAATTTACGACAAATTTATTAATATAAAATTATAAATTTTCATTGTTTATACTTCTTTTATTATGCCATTACAATCACACTAAATTATAAAACAATATTTTATAATATTTACATATAATATTAATCTATAATATATATATAATATATACATATTTTTAATTTACATAATATGATACATCATATTAATTTATATTTTCATAATGATATAATTTTTAATTTCATAATAAAATGTTGAACTAATCATGATTCATTTTTATGTCTATGAATAATGCTTTTTTTGAATTACAGTTTTTTTCTATTTGCTTTCTTTAAGTTTGATACATGTCTTATAAAAATTCTAATGTTTTCTTATATTACAAATGCAACATTTAAAGTACACTTCCTACTAAGAAAAGTATTGTTAATAAAATGCCAATTTGATTTAATTTTATATAATTTAGCAGATTGCTGTAGACATTAGATTGTAAATTGTGTATTTTTAATGATTTATTCATATATATTTGCTTATTTATCTTTATTGTTTTATTACGATATTTCAGTTTTTCGCTATTAATCTAATCAATAATAATGAGTTTACGTGTATAAAAGTATAAAAGTAAACATTTTGTTTTAGCAAAGGAAATCTTTAAATGAGAAATAGTTGTTATTATCTAGCATATATTTCTCAAAATATATATTTTTCAGGTATTTTGCGGTACAAGGTGGACTTTCAAAGTATGCAGTTGGATGACATCGAAATCGATAGCTTTGATTTGGACGATTACTAAGTCCATGACTCAACTAATATTTAGTTATTTTAAATAAAACCATTAAAAGGCTTCGATGAGCAATAATTGGGTTTTTATTTATTTTGAAATTACAATAGTGCTAACAATAAAGAATATTTGAATATTTGAAATATTTCCGCACTTACTTGTGCTTCTTCAGCCAAAACAAAAATTTAGGCTCTTAATATGCCATGGTAAGATAAAAAAAAGGGTAGGGTCACGAGAGGCTATGTGTTTAAGAGAGAAAAAAAACCTGATCTGTTGCAAATCTATGCCAAAAGTCGATAACACATTTCATTCTACTTCCTCCTTGTCCATGCCAGTCATTTTAAGGACTGTGCTGAGTCAAGTTTAAACTCAAATCTTGTATGTAAAATGTTAAGTCATATCATATGTGGTCCAGAGAAAATTGACTTGAATCATGTCAAATAACTTGTAGGAGAAGTCGTAATTATGTCAAAAATATAAAATCCTATTGGACGAAGCAAATAAAAAAATAAAGAATAAAATTAATAATAAATAAGAATTTACAAAATTATATGTTACAATTGAATTATAGCCTCTTGTGTGTGAGATGGTTTTGTGCGAACAGTTAGAGTCAAAGTCAGTTAGTTATTTTAGCTTTGGAAAAAGCTGAAGGGGGACATGAATGTATATGTTCTCTTTTGCATACTGTCCCAAGAAAGAAGCATAAACGGGCATGTTTCAAAATTATATCATACAATGCAGTGCGATATCATCACGAAATTATTGTCTAGAATTTACTGATTATCAAACAGATCGTAAAATCAATGCACAAAAGAAAAAAGCTGATATAATTCATGTCTATGAAAGAAAAGGCGATTCGAAGACTGTGACACTTAATTAAGCCAGCTTAATACCTGCCTACTCTCATAACATTTACCATCTTTTATTACAATTTATGATCTTTAATTATTCACAGATTCAGAGATTCGTTTAAATAACTACACTACATGCTCTACAGTGCCGAATACGTATGTTGTATAATATGTAATGATCCGGTTGTAATTTTATATTAAATTGATGTTTGTCATCTTATCATAGATTTTACGAGAAATGAGTATTTGAACTATAAGAGCGGCTACATAGCATTATTTTGTTCCGATACGATCCTGGAAGAAGAGCTGTAATAAACTGATTATTATAAACATACAATTGCGTATATTCTACACCGAAAATTTGAAAAATTCATATAATGATAACGCGAGAAGAGTTCTGTAAATAGATGTCAATTTTTAAAAAAAACGGCACAGTTGCCTTAGACATAAGTTGAGGTCGCGTACACGATCCACGGAGTAAATGAAGTATTTCCGTCTTATGCAGTGATATACACTTGTAAACATAAGGACAGATAATTCCTCGCAATCCTACATCGCTCCGTTGCTGGCTATTGGCTCTTAGATTTTTGTACATTCACACAATTGTACATAAGAAAAACGCTTCGCAAAAATATATATTGAAGTAACTTTTTTCATTGTTATAGTAATGCACCTCAATAAAAAGGAAAAGATATTTCCCCGCAATATTTAAATAGCAGTTATATTGGAGATATATTACGAAATTTATTTTAACAATGTTAATTTAATTCGCTTATTCGTACGATGCCTTTGTAATTAATGACGCTATGTATGCATAAATGTGGAAAGAATGTAACGTGCAATTTTGGTGAAGTATCCTTTATGAAAGAATATTGTATAGGGAAAGCAAGGGAGGATTTTTTGAAGAGTCTCGAATATTGTGAGAGCCTCTCGACGAAAAAAGTGTATCGTTAATAATGTATTCACATTACATTTGCGATATCATTCTGATGTACACTTTGCATAGAGACAAAAAACAGGCGCAAAAGAGAGCTTCATCAAAGTGGAACGTTCGAGAGAGATCCAATTTTTGCGAATGTGCACAACGAATTTCAGAGTGACGCGATGGTTCGAATTTGTATCTGTGTATTGTCTCTCAAGACATCCAGATGTTAATTACCGGCTTAACGTTTCTTCAAATTTTTATATGTAAACATCTCATTAGGAGTCTAGATAGTTATTTATTTCTATACATTGGTGCGACTACGTTTCTGCTTAGGCAGAATATCCGATTTAAGTATGCAAGATAGTAAATTAAGAGCTCGATAAATATTAATGATTGAAAGTGAGCGAGAGAGAACGAGAGAGTGAAGAGAAAATGAGAGCAAGAAACAGAAAGAGAGCAGATAAAGTCTTGTAATCTTTATCTTAATGTAAAGGTACATTGAAATATCGTCCACGCGTTGCTTTAATAATCGAACCGATGACTTAGATTATGGTTTGCCCCTCTGATATCTTGCAAGCCTAATTGTATAATCAGCTAACACATGTTCATCATTGATTATTGTTTCCATGTGTTTTGTCAGTGAAATACGCTCTTTAATCGAAACTAGTTGTTTCCTCGATATTTGATGATTAGCTTTCATATCTGACAGCAATACAGAATGTAGTCGTAAAAGTTTTTTAATCAGTCCAAAAAATTATATATCATGGATATTATTTTATTAGAATGCTTCACCTTTTCGTATATGTATCACGTTGAATTTGCGCTATCTTAAAGTAAAGTCTGTTTATGATGGATTACAAGCATTAATGGTATGGGATTATACCTAAGAACCGGAAAAGAAATTTTTGATGGTATTGCTGCTCATTTCCTGTGAGATCTATGCTCTGTCAAGTGATAAAGAGGAAGATTGAAATAATGATCTTAAAACATTCCATATCCATGTATATACGCGTATACATGTATTAATGTGAAATGATAGAAAAAAGATCGCTTTTCTAAAGAAAATAATATATAATTTATTAATAATTAACTCTATGTATATATGGAAATTGTTTATTATAATTTATGTAGTTATATTTTATTAATTTAATACTTTTTTGGCTCGTTTTTGAGGGGAATTAAAAAATTATACATGTATATACAAAATATATGACAGCTATGATAAATCGGTTACACATTAAAAAAATAATAAAAGTTTTTGGAACAATAATAATTATAATTATCATATTTATAAGTAATATTCCAAAGTGGATCGAATAACCATTATTTCTAATCTTCCTTTTTTCACGCATGTTTTACTCGAAGTTTTATATACAAGGAAGAGAGTAACATGTCATCGTAATATACAATGCCGAATAGAATTGTGGACAACCATAGGATATTAAACAGTACATGAGTGAAAAAATACAATCTATGTTTCTCATACAAACAGATAGTTATTAATGTCCGGAGTTATTATATTGACATAACACGTCGCGGAAAATCCATTCAGATTGTTTTCAAATGCATTATTGCATGTGTATATGATATTGATCTGGTAACGTATGTCAATGCGATGCTTTCGGACCCCAATTACAGTTCTTCATATTTAGAAATTTGTTGATATTTATCTTTTTACATAGTTCGTATCTTTCTTGTATGAAGGAAAGGAACGCGGGCTACTTTTATCGTGAGAAAACAGATACCTTCGTATGAGAAAGCTCTATCGAACGGGAACGGAAATAATGATTCTACTCAGCCTAAACATAAACCTCAAACGTAATTTAGTGAAGAACGTAATCGAGATGACAATGTTTTTTATACGATTGTTGTACCTGGTTGTATATCAAAACATTTCTGCCCGTTGTGTACATTTCGGACGGAGAGAATTCGATGTATTTCATTTCGGAAATGTGCAAGAGATACACTCTTAGGATTTCTTTATATTTGTACATTTTTCATAAATTAAAAAAAAAGAAAAGAAAATTGATAATACTGACAATAAACAAAAGGATATCAAATGTTTTGCATTTGTAGATTCTAAGATATAAAATATATAGGAATAAGTATAATCAATCGCGCGCGGTAAGCAAAAGATTCGCTCTAATTAATTTTAGTCGATGATAATCATTCGATTCAAATAGCAATTTGTGATCTTAAAATTTTCTATTTTTACCACATAATACAGACAAATATTAAAAAAAAATATATAATTAATATATCGTAGCATAATTTCGTCATTTGAGTTTCTAATATGTTATACAAACATCATTCATCGTATTAGTGTATACAAAACGTACACTATCAATTTACATATTTCGAGCAATCACCGTCTTATCATTTTTTACATTTTACAAATACGATACGACACGATTTACTAATTTAGATACAAAACTATTAGCGGGAGTCGAATTTACTAATCTTCATCCGGAACAAGAAGGTTGAGATTGGCATCTTTCACGATCGAACCCATGAACTTCTCCTCGGCGCCGCGTATGGACAGAGTTTCCGTGGCAATTACGGTCTTTCTCTCATCCATCATTGCTGCCCTGGTCCAACTCGAGCTGCCGCACTTGTTGCAGCTGTATGACGGCATAAGATTTAGACCAACAGTCCGGTTGCCACAATCGGCACACTTGAAGAACCTCTTGATAGCGTCGATCACGCGCAACGGATGTTTCTGCTCCTTACACATGTCCGATGCCGAGAAGGCCGTGTATTTACATATTGTACACTTCACGGCTTTGCAATTGACCTTGAAAGTGTTCAACATCTTTTCTTCCATCTTCTCCTTCAATTCTAATTTGTCAAAGTATTTCTCCTTTTCTTCGTCGTAGGATTTCTCGATCAAATCTGTATGCGAGGACTTAGCTTCTAGCATCTCTTTGAATAGTTTACTCATGTTCATCTTTTTCGCATTCTGTTCTTCCTGCTCATCATTCTCCCTCTGACGTTTCGCGTTTTTATACAGTTTCTCTTTCGAACGCATCTGATTGGGACTCTTTGCTTTGATTTTTCCATGCTCCTCCACCCACTTAATCGCGTTCATCTTGGCGGTACGAATTTGTTGCTTGGTGATGGGTTCGAAATTTATCGTACCTTGATTACATCCCGCTCCCAGTCGCGGGTTTAAAGACAGAGAGGTCAAAAAATTCTTGTTATCTACATGATTGTTTTTAGGTTTGCTTGTATAATTATTTTCCTGTGATTGCACCGGACTGGAGCATAGAATTGGTCCATTGGATGTCGATTGCACTATTACTTGCTTTGATGGTTGCCAGCCTCTCAATTTATTGAGTCGCTCAAAATCTTTCCTCGACTGTTTGTTCGTCAGCTCCACAGCCATTTCCTTCTTCTTAGCATCCACAGCATTGATCTCTGATTTCGAGTCACTTTTCGTTTTTTTAATATCACTGCTCGAAGAGGCCTTTGATAGTAATTCCAGACGAGCACGGTCCTTTTCGTATAATTGCTCATTGCGTTTGGCCAATACTGGTACGAATGGCGCCAGGCCATTGTAAGGTTTTCGTGTACCAGTTTGCTTGTTCATACGTTTTAACGTATCCCCGGTGAATCCATAGGTGTTATTGCTCGACTGTAGGTCTGCTCGTCGAGTACATTTCTTATATTCCTGTTTAACGTGATAGACACAGTACTCGCATCGACTTAGGTTTACAATAGAAGTACAAGAATCGCCGTTCTTCTTGATCGACTTGCATTTACCCATATCCTTGGATCTACCAAGGATCATCAGCTTCAAAGGATTGTCGATTGATAAAGTTGCTTGATCGATGTTGTCCTTACTCTCGAGCACGTTCGGATTGAGAATACCTATTACACTGCCAGTGATTGTTTTCCATAGCTGCTTGTAGGCATTACTGAACAGAAAAATGGATACAGTCTTCAAATCGTCGGACAAATCGCTTATTTTCCAGATGCAGTAAGAACTTCCCTTTATCGAGGTTTTTGTGGCTGACTTATTGATTAAAACACCGGCGATTACCCAATCATTATGTACATTATCAGAAATAATATGATTTTTTACTCTTGATATTGTTACAGCTATCTTGTCCTTCATACGTTCTTTTAATTCAGCAGAGGATATGAGAGGATTAATTATTCTTATTCCAAAAAAAGGATCGCTATACACATCTTTTGGAACAGTATTATTATTGCTACTTTTTATATTATTGAGATCAAAAGACTTATTTTTATTATTAAAACCATTATTATTGTGCTGTAATTTTGCAGGTTGTTCAGTCTTAGAAGAAGAGTGCTCTTTTAATAGCTGCTTTATCTCACGTCCATAATTAGAATACTTTTGCTCCTCAAAATTACGTCTGTCTTCATCATCCGAAGAATCAAGCTTGTCATCGTAAGATCTATCAGTAAGTTTCTCATGAATTGGTTTATCCTCATTATTTACATTACATGGCTTAGAATCTAAGAAGTTAAACTGCAATTCTGTTAAAGTCTTTTTTGGTTCAATTGATTTAGATTCTTTAGGTTGATTAGGCTGTTCAGGATGCTGAGACTGTTCAATATTACTCTTTTCAACATCAGTGTCTTCAATATCATTTGATATGAGATTATTCAAGATATCCAGATCAGAATCACTGTCCTCATGCTCCATATTTCAAATCCTGTAAGTAAATATATAATTAATATTTCTGTAAATACATTATGTCTCTCTTTGATTAAATTATAAATTATATTTAAATTTATTATTTATGACAAAATTAAAAATTCAATTTAGAAAAAACAAATTTGTGTGTCTGTAGAGGTAAAGTAATGACAAATAGTTAATCGATCAATGAATGTTACAATTTACTTAATATTAAATTTGTAGTTAAAAATATTTATACATAAATACAAAAATATAACTTGAAAATAGAAAATAATTTGCTAATAAGAGCTCAAAACTGTCATTGATCGATCAATTGACTTTTATGACAATAGATTACACATGCCTGGCTAACCTATTATTTTTATAATACTTTCTAATACTTGAAAATTTGATAAAAATATTCCTTGCTGCTATATTAAGAATCATTTACACGTAAACATTTTTGAATCACAAATATTCACAAGTATTCACACATTATTTACAGATTTTATAGGACAGTAATACTACGTGTCACTATTTACACGTTGTATGAATATACATATGTCTGCCAGTTTACCCGCCAATTTTCAGCAGACGATGAAGCATAGAAATAAAAAATGCATAGATGGAGCGATAAGCGATATCGGAGAATAATTGTCCACCAATCACTTTAAACTACCCGTTGCATATAAACAAGTCGATGCCACATCTATGTATAATTCTATGGTGCAATGGAACGCCCGCGAGATTATCTGCGCAGGCGTATCGAGTTATCGCGCGTTTCGATTGATTCGATATATCGAGAATCTCAGCGTCACAGACGTTTTCGCGCTCAATCTGGGTCAATCTCGGGACGTGTCGCAGCAAATCGCGGAGTCGTGTTCGATTTGTTTCGTATAGATTATGTTTTTTCTGTATCGGTTGTTGCTATCTAAATGTGAATCTCTCGTGTGCGAAGAGTTATCGCGAGCGTCTGCCGTAAAGAGTGTCAGATATATTGACATATTGCATTCAACGCATTCAACATCACACGCCGGCGTCGACTAATTGTTCCGGCATCGTCTTCGTGGTACGTATCTCACTTTATTTCCTCGACAAATGCAGCGGAAGTGCATCAATTGATGCATTATCATCGCCAAGTATGTATATATTCACGTATATATCCATTGTTCTATAATATATGTATATAGAATTTATGTACAATTAACCCATACTTTTCCATCCCCCTCCCCTCCTCGCCCCTGCATTTGTGATTTTACTGGATTTTATGCATCGATGAGAGAGACGTTATTCGTATATTCATAAAAAGAAAGAATAAAATAAAATAAAATATATAAAAATTACCAAAAAATTTAATTAATTTTTTTTTATTTATAAAATTGATTTCTGATTAAATATAATTCTTGAATATATAATAATAATTAATGGACATATGGCTCATTTCATTACACATCTTGTGAAAGAAATATGTATGTTGATTGAGATTACTTTGTAGTGATCCGTTAACACATTAATTTATATATTTCACTAATTTTACTATAATTCTAAAATATTCTTTCCTGAATGAATAAGTAAAATAGTAAAGGAAATCGACAATTTCTAGTAATTGTTGTATTCAAATGATTGTTCGCAATAAATTATTTATAGCTTGCAGTCGCCAAATCATCACACGATCTGATTCATCGCATTGTCACTGATATGTAATGGCGTAATTTTCTATAGTATAATATGATGTTATCAGGGTTTATATTATCACATATAGAGTATTCTAGAAAAATCTCGAACTTATGGTATTTTATTTTAACTAATCTTTTTTTACATTATAAAATATAAAGACAAAAATATTTTTTGATATAAATAATTTTAATATTGTTAAAAATACGAATAAACAAACAATCGTTTATTTAAATTTAAATAAATCTTTTTGTAATTATTTTTTAAGTTTTTGAAATTTGTCTTTAAATTATTCACAGAATTTGTCATTAAAATTAAAACTGGAGATTTTAAGATCTTTTAAAAAATATCATATTTAATTTCAAGAATTATCACATATTTAATTTTTTTTATAATAATATTAACAGTTACTATTAAAAGCTTGCATATGCAATTTTTATAGAAATGTAAAATTGTAAAAAAAATATAATATTATTAGTTTTACATTTTTATAAAAATTGCATATGTAATTTTTATAGAAATGTAAAATTGTAAAAAAAAAATAATATTATTAGTTTTACATTTTTATAAAAATTGCATATGCAGCTTTTAATAGTACAACTTAATGTTATTATAAAAAAATGTGATAATTTTGGAAATTAAATATGATATATTTAAAAATCTTCAACTTTAATTTTAATAACAAATTGTTTGAATTATTTAAAGTCAAATTATAAAAACATAATTATAAAAAGATTTATTTAAATTTAAATAAACAATAGTTTATTTTAATAGTATTATTTGTGTACTTTTAATAATATTATAATTATTTATATCAAAAATTAATTTTGTCTTAATATTTTAATAAAGGAAAAGATTAAGAAAAAAAATTAATATTCTTTGTTCCCCTACTGAATTAATTAATATTTATATGTATCAAATATCATGCTTCTGTTATTTATACACACCGACTAACGATTTTCGCGGCAACGCGGCCGCGTTTGCCACAAGTACTGAAATCGACCAGTCTCTCCTTATGAAATATTCAGACTGGATGTTGGAGTCGGACTAACTCAAGCAGTCAGTTTGCATCCAAGTAATTCTCGTGGACGAGGATGCAAGCAACTCCTATGAGGCTATCGAAATACGTTCTGGAAACGTTTAATCGGAAGTCTCGCGGGTCGCTGTATTAACCCTTGACGGCGCAATATAATTTCCGCATACGGATCGATATTAGATGTAGTATTTTTATTTTAAGTATTACCCATGTTGCGTTTAAAGTAATACGTGACCTCCGCGTCCCATTCGTGTTCTTTTGTAAAAATTCAATAAAGGTAGAGTCAAACGGGAATAGAACCGGGTAAGTAGTGCAAATTAGATTTTGATTATTCACTCACAAATGGCAGTAAAATAAAATAATAATTATAAAAGATTTAAAGAATTTTTAATGGCCTAAATGCACACATTTAAAGACATTTATTAAATTTATATAAAAGTTGTAAATATGTATATAAATTTCTCGCCAACAAAATTCTTTTTATATTTCTTCCAGTTTATTCTAATCAAAATTCGTAGATAAGACAATAATGTTTTGAAATTAAAATTATTATTAATAGTTGATGATTAACAGTAATTTTGATGATAAAATTAATTAAATTTTTTTAATAAAAGTAATTTTATAATAACACTATATATTATTTTTATTTAATTTTTTTTATGAATTATAATTATTCAGTGACAAAAATGTTTAAAAGCATATATGTAGAGTACAGTCTTATTTAGGATTAAGCGTTTCCATCGCTGTATTATGAAAGTAGCGGTTGTTTTAATCCTTATAAAATACTTTTCACCGTATTATGCGATAAACAGTGGCTAAATGCTGCATAAAATATATAATTATAAACTTATACTATAGGTTATACTTGATGAAAATGCACTTGCTTATTATAGATTTTTTGCATTTTTTATACGTTTCCGAATTTTCAGAATCTTTATTTGAACTTTTATTAATTTTTAGTTATTGCACTTAACTATTTCTAAAATAAATACTCAGATAGCACAAGCTATTCGAAAAGAATTAATTTGTATATCACCAATTTTGAGTCCCTTTTCAAATACATATAGAATTCATTTTACAAAATGATACATATAGAATTCATTTTACAAAATGATACATATAGAATTCATTTTACAAAATGTATTTAAAAAGGGACTCAAAATTGGTGACATACAAATGAATTCTTTTCGAATAGCTTGTGCTATCTGGGTAGGTTAATATAATTATATTATATCATGTTTTTATCAAAATTAAATGATTAAAGAATCGACGAGGCACTCAAATCAAATTGATTCAAAATATAACAAGAAATTTAAAATTACACATTGACAATAATACATAAAACCTGTAGACAAACCAAATATTTTCTTTCTTTTATCTCATACAATGCGCGTCACGCATAATTTTTTTATCAGAATGCAAAAGTAAGTAACCTGAAAAGATTTGCACACAGAAACTTTCTTTGACTTTAATAGGATATCGGATGTAGTTTCTCATAAAATAATAAACGCGATGCGATAGTTTTGTCCAAGGATACAGAAATAATTGCGCGTGCCAAATAAATAATTCCGCATATTTTCGTCGATCCGGCCGCCGTATGAGTGTGTTGATGCACTACTTGGTGCCCCGTGGTACCATCGTCCGCCGGTCGATTCGAGCAATAAACCATCAATAATACAGTCTACTTGCTACGGTTTAACGGTGTACGACTCGAATACGCAGAACACGCAATCATGCTGCTTTACATGTTTGGTAGCAATAATCCGCGACTCGACAATTTTTCTGTACGATTGCTTCGCGATGTTTTATAGAAATTGAGCCGATTTGCATACGACTGAGAAATATGAATTTTATTGCATAATTGCGCCAGAAATGGTATCATTAACATGTAAATGTGTCATTTTTTCATGGTCTTATTCTGTCAGATCGATATGTCAAGATAAGAAAAACCGACAAGGGCAAAACACTTGGCTTATAAAAAAAACCATTGAATCTTTTGCGATAATTCATCATTATTGCGGCAATATTTTAATTATTTTTTAATATAAATTTAATTAAAATAATTAAACAATTATCTTATTACTGATCTTGTACATTACATAAAAAGAATGCTCCAATATAGCTATTTCAACTTCAATATGTATGCGGAAAAAAATGTACCATCATACCTAAGTTTTAGCTAGCTGGTAACTAATATTTTTTAGCTATAGTTGCACGGAGAATTCTATAGCTAAAAAATATTAGCTATCGTAGCTAAGGCATAATAAATTTCATGTGTAATATAGGGACAGCTAAAATTTAGTTATAGTAGTTAATTTTTTCCGTGTATTAAATCTATTTTAATGTGTAATAGTAATATCATAATTTGAAAGACTTATTAAGAAATATTAAGCATTTATTTCGAGTTAATTGCAATTTTTTTTTTTCATTGCTTTAATAAGTATTGTATTTACTATTTCTTTAAGCAATTCATACAAAAAAAGAAGAATGTTTTATGACCGATATAGCGGTATTTTTTTTCTCTTCTCTCACCGCGTTATTCATTCTCGTGCAACGGGATTCTAGTGCCATCCCATAATTCTGAAACTAGTTGGAACAAAAACAGCTCACGTATCGTCCATCTGCCCCCTTCCTTTATGTTCTTCTCCCGCCTCTTTTCCCCGGGCTTATTTCTGAATCATCTGCGACACGACCATGAGCATCTTCCACCTGCTAATCTCGAGGAAAGCTACGCGTTTCGAGCGGCTTCCACCTGTTAGTTATACGGGGGAAAGCGTGTAGTCGCAGAGTTCCTCGTGTAGAACGGAGCTGCATGCTGCTCTGAGCCGCTCTTCCTCCCATTGCCATCTGCTCTCTTTTTCCCTCTCTCTTTCACCCTCTCCTTTCTTCTCTCTAGAAAGAGGTAAAGAGAGAATGCACGCCGCGAGTGCATAACGCGATGCGCTTCGGAAGAAAGTACGCCGTTACTTTCGATGCATCGTTGCACCTCGAAGCATCGACACGAGTTATAGTTTTTTCGCGTGCGAGTGAGTCAGAATCTTCCGCGATATGGAATTCCATTTTTACACAGACCATTATGTGTAATATTGTACATATTTCTTATAAATCTGAGATTTCTAAAATAGAAGTTGACAGATTTTCTATAGAGGGATCCAGATTTTAGAGGAAAAAGTTACATGAGAAAATGTATCAAGAATTTATTACCATTATGTATATCTATATTTTTATTATTAATTATTATTTTAATTAATTTTGAATGTACATTATATATGTAATTTGACAAAACAAAAATATATACACGGTAAAAAACATTTCGTATTTCTGTTGAAATTATCTTGTGTAGAAATTTTTGTGTTAAATTTTTAACATACTCTTATGTTAATATAACATATTGTCGTTATGTTATTTTGACATTTGTCTGTTGAGTTAATATTCACTATTTTTAAGTGTTAAAACAACACAATTAAATGAAAATGTACGAATTTTTGCTTATATTATATTTTTATTTTTATATTTTTGTGTTATTTTTTCACATATTACGTGTTATTTATTTACATATTTGTCCTCTGTTAAAATGACATTAAAATTAGAGTAGATAAATTGAGACATGTGAAATGTGTTAAATTTAACATAAATTTTTTTACTGTGTATAAATAGTTTTACATTTTTATATAAAACTTATTGTTGGTAATCAATTTAATAGAATATATATAAATTTTATTGTAACACTTTCATGTGTTTATATAGATAACAATTTCATATATTTTATATTTCAATGCACATTTAATCTTTGTTTCTGTGTACACAGCAGATGTGAATAACTTTTCGTTGCGCGCTATTTCGCCTTCGGTCGTCTTTTGCAACTAGCTTGGCGAAGGGATTTCCCTGCAGGGCACGCCTTCTCTCTTGACCTCTTTGTTGCAACTCATTTTAATAAAGTAACTTCAATAATTACGGTTATTATAATAACCGTGCGTAACAAGACGAAAGCGTTCATCGTTATAATATCGTTATACTTCTGACGAAACCTACTTTTCTTTTCAAATATGTAATAAAACGTTTATTATGTTCAGAACTGGTTATTTATTTTTAACGCAAAGTGTGTGTTTGCATGCGCTATGCTGATTTATATAATCATCTATATGAACAACGTCTTTTAGAATATGATATTGCATTTTACATTAATAGAAATATTTTATAAGAAAATAGAAAGTGGAGAAAGAGAGATAAGTAAGTCTATTGAAAAAAAAAGAAAGTTTCTTCCTACTCTTTATATAAAAAATGATAATTACAAGATAATAGAGTTACTTAGCAAACGTATTTGTACGGTTTTTTACAAATTTTTTACAACCCTTAAGTATAATTCATTAGAGTATGTATTAATATTTTTATCAAATTTCTTAGCTAGTTTTTTTTTAATCACAGATTTCAATTAAAAATAGAGAAAGGAAGAAAGCTCGACGAAAAGTTCCATTCTCTCGTTCGAAATATAATTTTGTAACAACTATACATTGATCGTTATTCACTATTGTAATCGCGATATTTGAAAATGACGAAGTGCGCTCGAAATTCTTCAGTAGCAAGTATAGTGAGTAGTAAACTCAATCGAAGGTCATCCCCGAAAAGCACGTGCGGAAAGCTCGACGCACCCCTAACGCTTCGTCGCGAGTAGCGCAGGGCTCCGCTTTCCCGTCGCCTTTTCCGGCGGCGCGACTCGGATAGGGAACATCGCGCCGATGTGGTCCCCCTCCAGAAGACGGGTGCTTCTCGCCTACTCTGTTCCCTCATCGGAATCGCGAGCGCGAACCTCCGCGGTCCCTCTTCTCTCCTCCCGTTCCACGTTCCCATCAGCAGGCGCTCGATCCAAACTCCCCCCTTCGCTCCTCTCTTTCTCCTGTCATCCACCCACTCACCTACCCCGACCCAGTGGCCCGCGGGCTACCCCACTCTCCACCCTCTCGACCCCCTCGCACCCGTCTCGCCGTCGCGCTGGTTCACGCTCCGTCAGTCTGTCGGCAACCTGCGTACCAGTCGTGTCGCAGCGCTCACGTAACAAAATTCTTATATTATTATTACCATATCACTCTATTTACTTGCCTTGACACTTGACACGGTGGTGTGTTCAATTCTTCGTTCTTTCGACTGTATACGTTGCGCGTTTTTCATTTTTTCGCGAAACACCCCGAGAAAATATTTACGTCCATACGCGTCCGGAGGCTCTCTCTTCGTCATCGTCGAGGAAAATCGTCTCTCGCATATATATATACATATACACCACTTGTATCCGCGCTCGCGCATATGAAACCATTCGCCAGGATTCGCGGTCGTATCATCACCCACGGAACTCATCCGAGATAAAGTGATAGACAGACAGCAGGTCGTAACGAGAGAGAGAGGGAGAGAGGAACCATACAAATACGTCAAGTACGAACCCGTCGTCGTCTGCGAACCTTACCCCATCGCAACCACGAGCTACGAGCGTCATTGGTTTTCCGGAGCATTGTTGCGTGCGAGCCACCGGGTGCGTGGCAAAAAATCGTGCGCCTCCTGCAACCTCATCTTCGCGGTCATCATCGCCGTCGCCGTCGTCCTCTTCGTGACGTGTAATCGCGCGAGCGCGTTCACCCAGCAACGTTAGGAAATACTCCGGAACCATCATCAGACGCATCCGGTGCATGGATTACTGCTGCTCATCGATAAATGAAATATCCGGTCTCGACCAGGAGCAACCTCGCCGATCGCGTTCACCGGGTGCTGCCCTGCTCCTCCTCCGCGGCGGACACGCTGCTGCTGCTGTTGGTGTATCGATTGCTCTAAAATAGACGCGTGGGAACAACACCTGCAGGCCAGGCGTACACGTATACACATGCCGCTCGCAGGCGCATAAACGCGCAACAGACCGCACACGTTCGTGCACCACGCTTCGTACATATACATCTACATATATATCACACTCTCTCTCCCTCTCTCTCTCTCTTTTTCTTTCTCTCTCGCTCTCGCTTTTACGCTGCCACGACTCCCTTGCAGCGGCAACGTGTGACAGGTGCAACGACGACGACGACGTCGTTGTAGGGTAGCCGGAGGTGGCGCTATCGGAGAACCGCAACAGAAAGCGGAAGAAGAAGTGAGCGAGGTCGGCATCGGCGAAAAGCACGCGAAAGAGAAGAGGAAAAGGAAGAGAAGAGGAAGAAGGAAGGAAGAAAGGGGAAAGCCGGCCAGGGAAGAGAGACAGAGACAGAGAGAGAGAAAGAGAGCGAAGACCGGGTCAGGGAAGGAGCTGAAGGCGTGGAGGAGGAACAGGAGGAGGTGGCCGCGGCCCCCGTGTTTTTTCACGAAGGGAAGGTTATTTTCCAGTAATACGTCCTGGAGGCGCCCGTCGTCTTCGCCGGTACAACCATAACGCCGCCCGCTTTAAAACGACCGAGACGGGACACGGTGGACTCATCGCCGCCACCCGCTCGTACCGCAGTCCCCGGCAACCCCGGACCGTCCGGCAAACTCGCCTGCATCATGGACGCGCCACTATCGCAGAGCATGGACTCCGTCAACACGGTGGCCACCGGCGAAGATGAGGTAAGTGTCCTAAGGAACTTTGACTCTTTAAAGGGTGGAAGCCACCCCTTGTGTGTGTTTTACCTTTCCCCAAGCTGTGTACAACTCCGAGCCATTCTCGTATTTCACGTGTTTTTTTTCGCAGCCTATATCGATATTTCTTCCCAGCCCCCTTTCTTTACCATCCCTTTATCGAAGGCCACGTTTGAATATCAGATATCACTTTATTTCGCTTCTTCTTTCTTCCCTTCCATCGTCAGCTACACTATTCTCACCCCTTCTCTCTCTCTCTCTTCGTTCTCCATCTCCCTCGCACTTTTGTGTTATCGCCATATTGGTCGGTTCTCCATCCCCTGTGCACCCTGTCTGAATATATCGTGGCTGTCTCCCTTACTCGTTGCGACCCTCGCGCGCGTCATAGCGCGCGCAAGCGCGTATTTGGATGTGCTCGCGCAGACCGCTGACACGCGCGTACCTTCGCCGCGTGTAGAATGTCACTCATTAATGATGCGAACTCGATGCAACATATTGCATGCTCCAAAATGGTTCGATGATAGAGAGAAGAAAAGGTTTTCAGAGAAATGTATTAGATGTACGATAAATATATACGCATGGTTCTTTGTTTAAATGGACGCTCGTAGGAAATTAAATTCAAATAATGACGGGAACAATTTTTTTTTTTTTTTGATAATGTATAATACAATTTGAATGAAATTTATGAATTAAAAAAATGACGACAAATATTTGATAGAAAATTGGTGGAAGAAATGCCTGTGTATACGTGTCTCATGGTGATCTCATGTTTCGTTAAGTTTCATTGCGATAAAAATATCAAATATACACTTCGATAGATATTCAGAAATAAAATGAAATTAAATGCATGCTCTGAATCGAGCAGCTTTGCAAGAAATCGATTACGAAACAGAGAAGCGTGAAGTTAGCAATTATATGTAATTGTACTATTCATTATACTTGCATTCATTAGCATCCTTTGTTCTCGGCGATCAATCGCAACTATATATATATAATCTTGCGCAATTTTTCACGATTACTCGTGACTTTGTAGAGCGGGCAGCTGGTGTGACGCAACTGCTCCGAGTTGAAACAGTTGTATGACACAACTGTTCGTAGAGAATGAAAACAAATCGTATCTTTAATTTACGACGTTGAACATTGAACGTCTATTGGATCGAGAACTATGGAAAAGTATGCACTATATTTGCAGTGCAAGTCGCGAAAACTTTGTTCTACATTAATTTTCAAACTGCTGCAATGAAGTTTCTACATCATATTGTTATACTGCACTTGATAACAACGGCGCGCAATCAAAAATCTTATAAAACTTTTCGAGGAAAAATACGGATACGAAAAACAGTAAGAAAGAAATATAGTTACGATACATTAAATTTTTATGAGTTTTATTTGCGGAAAATGTTTATTTAATATGTCTTATAATTTATTCACTTTTGGCCTAAAAAAATTAAAGTTTTTTCTTTATATTTCTAATTCAAAAAACTTCCTTTTATTGCATCGAAAATTGACAGCTCTAAATTAAATTAAAACATTTTATAATATTGATTATAACGTAAATAAAAATATTAATAGCTATTGGAAAATCTGTAAGAATTAAGGTAGAAGTTACAATATTGATCATTTATTATAAACTCATTAATTACAGAAGTTATTTTTATTATGTTATGCTATCACAACATCAAAAATTATATAGTCTATTGAATATTTGTACAAATAATGACGTGAAACATCGACCAAAGTTAATCAGAATCATATATTAATTAGACGGAGAGAATATTCTAAAATTTTATTCAAAAACAAACTTAATGTAAAAGGCTTAAAATTTTGATCGAGAAAAAGGAGGGAGAAGTGCAGTTCTAGCACGCTTCAATAAGTGATAACATCGTGCGCAATGCCACCGTTGCGCAGCAGCATACACACATACACACACATATATCATACATGCATATACGTCTTCTGGTGGAAGGCGGGAATTCGATCGTGCGCCTGCGACTATGTGTGTGTGTGTGTGTGTGTGTATGTGTGTGTCTCGCAGGTGACTCGTTTTTGTCGGTGTGCGCTCGATCGGACGGTCGCCTGTTTACCTGTGTACGTCCGTCTGCCAAGCTGACTTCCTTCCACGCACAGGGCAGGCGGCCACCTGAAAGAGTGACGCCGCCACGCCACGCCGCACCACACCACGTTCGCTATTGATTTTTCCGCGACTATGCGAGAGGGCCACCGAGGAGGGCCCGCCAGCACGCTCCGCGCAATGTCACGTCATATGGAAGGTGGATTACGCCTGGATACGTGTAGGCGCTAAAGTTGTATGTGTGTATGCACGTGTACGTATGTATGTATACATTATATGTATATGCGTGCATCATACACGGGTGCCGACATATACGCGCGAACGATTTGACTTAGGTCGCAGAGCGTATACCGGGTAGCGACCCCAACGAAGAGTAACTGATGGCTCTGCCTTCTGTTTTTGCCGAGGGTCAATCGATTCATGTGTTTACGACGGAGTGGATGCTCGTGGGAGTATAGGGGGAGTTGGCATTTTAACCGTAAAGTTTTGCGAGGAGAATGAAATTTTCTTCAGGCAGGAGAATTGGAAATTTTGCTGGCTAAAAATAGTCTACGGAAAATCCAAAAATAAACCGTCCGTTGGGATACGTTTCTATATCACTGCGTGCCATTCTATTCGTCAATTTTTCTACTTTTCGATTCAATTATGCGGACAAGTACTTACTCTGAACGATCAATTTCTTTTTACTTTTTACCGTTGCTGCCGTTTATCCATGTTGTAGCTTGTTCTACTTCAGAGAAATTCTCGAAAAGATATATCTATTTTTGATAAATTTTCTAGTTAAGAATTGGAGCAATTTATAAACTTTTTTATTAGGATAAAATCGATTTCAAATGAAAAATACAGACGGTAATAGATACCTCGATAAAAATATCATAAAAATAATTGTAAATTACTTCTGTAATATTCAAGAGAACTTTTATACTTGTATGCAATGTGGAAATAAAAACCGGAAATGGATATCGTGCTTTCTATCGCTGATACGGAAGTGCGTGCGCATGCATCGTATTTCGCTATAAAAACAAATAAAGCTAACGGCGACCGAGTTTTCTAGTTGAACGACAAGTTCCTGATCGATTGATCGAGTTCCTTCTAAGACAGAAAGACGACAAAATAGGAATTCGATTGCGCGAGAAGAAGAATAAGAATTCTTTTCACTACAATTCTTTCCGACAAAAACAGAATGCCATTGTCATTCCTTGAAAAAAAGAAACAAATATAAAAAGAAAAAAATATAAAATTTCTAATATTATTTTAAATGTGCACTTTTCATTTAAAAAACGATATTACAATTAAACAAGCATGATAAAGATCAATATTTTTAATTATTTGATATATCTTATATTTTATTCGAGCTATATAAAAAAGTAAGTAATTAAATAAAGTAATTAAATAAAGTTGCAGGTATTTTTAATATCAATAATTTATATATACATATCTGCAGCTGCATATTTCCTTCCTTCCTTTCAAAATTTTAAGTCTTTTACATAAAAAAAGTTTGTTTCTTTAAACTTCAGAATTTTCTCTCATCTAATTAATAAAATGTAATTCTGATTAATTTTGATTAATGTTTTATGTCGTTATTTATACAAATATTTAATAGAAACGACGATTTTTGATATTGTATATATTATAAAATATAATAAAAATAACTTTTGTTATATTAAATAAGTTTATTTATCATAATAAATAAGCTCATTAACAAATAATGTCTTAATTTAATTTAAAACTGTTAATATAAAGAATTAATAATAAATTTTTTTGATGCAATAATATTTCACACATATTTTTATTATAAAATGTAAATTAAACTAAAAATATGTTTTTTTGAAGTTTAACTTTTAATAAAAATTTTCATCCAAATTATAGAAGAGTATCATCGTCCAATGTTTTATCAAAATCATTAAAATCATGCCATTGACTTGTGATAAAACGACGAGGTAAACAGAAAAGTGATGTTGATAAGTGAATATTTATTCGAGCGATTTCGGCGTGCGAATATGTTTTGTCGTGGAAAATTTCATTCAACCAGTCTCGTTCGTATGACGACGCGTTTACTGCACGACGAGTTCGTGATTATAACGAGGAAACGCTTTCATGCTTCTCCCCGTTAATCAAGAGAATGAAATTCACGAGCAGATTACGGCTTTTAATACGAATGTCGATGTCCCGCGAGAGAGATGTCTCTAATAACGCGATAACTTCAAAACAAAATTGTAATTTGCATCTCTATGGCATAATGATAACATTAATTGCCTTCGAATAATAAAATGTTATTTAAAACATTACGATATTGCTAATACACATTAGTAACTTTAAATCGAAATAGCTGATTCTGAGAAGAAGCAGTTTTATATATATATATTTTGTGCCTTTTTATACAATAAAATTATACATATGTTTATTTTATATATATATATATATATATATATATATATATATGCATCATAATAGATTTCCATTATAAAGCACACACAAAAAACATAATTATGATTCTTAATTAAATATAGTTTTAATATATTGTTTCAAGTTGTCTACACATTACAATTTGTATAAGAATCTGATTATGTAGAATATAATCGAAAATCGTGAATATCTTTCTTTTTTTTATTTTTGTATTTGCATGAGATATCATCTCTACTTGGTTTATATCACGATAAATCCTGCATTTTGGTTAACGTCAAAAATACAATTAGTATATTGACAGCTATTCATTGCACACGTGTTGCGGTTCCTCTCTTCTATCAATTTATAAATTTTGATTTTATTTTCGAGAGATATAGGCAGATCTATTGTGCGTATAAATTGCGCGTGAATACAATTCGATGCGTGCCATGATCATCGAGATTCATATATATTAGTAGACGTCGCCGTATCGAGACACAATAGAAGCGCAGCGGTGCGTGCAAAAATTGAC